GGTAACGGCTAAATGGGGAGGGATGCTGCGCATCAAACGAATGACGGAACCTCGCTCACGCCCGTGTCACGCCGAGGGGGGGCGGTGTTTAACGCCCCCGACGTTAAACACCCCAATCACACCGGTGGGCGTGAGGGGTATTGCCACTACTCTAAAGGACACATTTTTTTGAAAGGAGCATGACTTTATGAGACGGAGTGGATATATTATTTTGTTATAATTTTTTTCCATTGTTTTTTATTTTTTTCGTTGTAATATTTTTCGTTGCTATTTTTTTCCTTGTAATTTCTTTTTTCTCTTTGTAGTTTTTGTGTGTAATGTATGCATTTATTTTGAGATATATTTAGATTAATATTTTAATTTATAAGTTAATGCACAAACCAATAACACCCTTAAATTTTGAAAAATAATCATTAATGAATAATATACTCTAACCCCGTCAAGCCACTCACCACAACATTGTGCACATTTTCCGGGCCATCCATGACTTTGATAATTAATATCTTTATTTATATATAGACATATTTTATAAAAAATTAATATTTCAAAATTTTGTTTCCAAAAAAAATTATTGATATTAGATTTATATCAAAATAAAATATATTTATATTATAAATGGAAACAAAAGTTTATAAATTTTGATCATAAAAAATCAAATATAAAGATTGAATGGGAAGGGAGAATAGTGGATAAGTTGGGACTCACTGACGAGTCAGACTTTAAAAAACGAAGGGCCCACCACAATGTATTTTCCCCTTCACAAGTCACCTCTGTCGCACTTCACCAAAACCGCCCGCACGGGAAAATTTTAGAATCTTTCCTCTCCATATCCCAAAACCACCACCGTCGCCACCCCGGGATCCTTCTCGCCTCCTCCCCCCCATCAAATCCGATCAAATTCTCATCCAGAAATCCAAATTCATCCGGAGGAAATCCTCACATCGTCCTCGATTTCGCGACCGCGCAGAGGAATCTTGATTTCTTGTAGCTACTACTGTCCTTGTTTTCTTCTCTTGTAACTTGAGAAGTTCCGGAATGGCGATCGATGACAACGAGAGTTGTGGCAGCCGCGCGGTGGAGCCATCGTCGCCTAAGCACTCCTGGCAGCAGAGGCAGCGGTTTGAGGTCTTCTCCGAGGTGCTGAGTCGGCTCCGGGATTCGAACCTTGATGAAGTGAAACTCCCGGGCTTCGAAGACCAGCTCTGGCTTCATTTCAATCGCTTGCCTGCTAGGTTTGACTTCGTAAACCCTAGATTTTATATCGATAAACCTCTTCTTGCATGCTCGCATTTCTACATGCTCGCATTTCTACCTGCTCTCTTTGTGTCGGCATTTGGATTGGTCATTGGTGTGTACGACTTGGGAAGCTTTATCATTTTTGCCTTCCATTTCAGAATTGAATTTAGGCTGAATATAACCGTGGTTGTATATCATGTTTGATGTATTTTGTTGCATGCAGATATGTATTGGATGTGAATGTTGAAAGGGCTGAAGATGTGCTCATGCATAAAAGATTACTGAATCTAGCTGAGGATCCGGGAAAAAGACCAGCATTGGAAGTCCGCCTGGTGCAGGTGCCTGCTAACTCTCCCTTGTAGTAACTCTTTAGTCATTACTGCAGTACACTGGCCAATTTTAGTATGTTGCCCTTTTAGTAGTACCAGAACCAACATTTGAACAATAGAAAGGGTGACATAGTACAATCAAACAAACAACAACAAAGCTTTATACACTAGGTGGGGTCGACTATCAAACAATGTCATTGCGCCCTATCATGTACCATATCTGAAGTGAGATCATTCACACGCGAAGGTCCCCCTTGACCACATCATGCCGAATCTTAGGTCTACCTCTTCCTCTAGCCCCATGTCTATTCACCATTTGATCAACCCTTCTCACCGGGTGCTCTATTGGTCCTCTCTACATGTGTAGATCACCTAAGACGAGTTTCCACCATCTTTTCTACTATAGATACCATTCCAATTCTAGTGATCATATTTTCATTTTTTATTATATCCATACCCGCCTATGACCACTCATCAAACCAAATTGGTTTCCTGACACCAAAGTCTCTTGTCTCAACCTTCGTTCAATCATTCCTTCCCACAACTTCATCGTATGTCTCGTGAGCTCAACTTTGAGTATCCTCCTTATTCTTGTAAATAGGAATCAAAATGTCCATTTTCCATTCGTTAGGCATCTTCTTAGATTTTAGAATCTCGTTAAAGAGCTTAGTTAGCCACCAAATGATTTATAATTGTAAATGTGGTGTTCATCTAGTTTTTTGTGTTTAATCGGATTTGGAAGTAAGACACTATAAGAAAGACACAATCTGGATGTACGACGTCAAAGCTCTGTTATGAGTTGGTTCATTTTCATATGTATCACTTAGTTCACCTACAGTTTCTTCTATATCAAAATATCAAATGTAGGTTCATCCCGTACACTGTGGAGCTTCACAAGATTCCATTGATACAGTTTCTACTATAAAAGATGAACTCCCAAGGTATTTTATTTGATGTTTATGATCATAATTGGTTTATGGTTCAGTCTCATTTTCACTTTGCTTTAAACACCACAGTTTGCACCCCCCTCCAACATTTGGCTCCTCACCTAATCTTCAAGCCCTTGAACTCCATGATGAAAAAGCTCATGTCAGTGATGTAGAGAGTGATATCAATTCAACTTCACGGACACACAGGTGACCACTACAGCTTGAGTTGGAGAAATTGTGAAATTCAAATTGTTTGTGCATGCTTTACAATTTTACATTATTGCCTTGATTAGTATTTACTTACAAGAGATTCAACGAAAAGAACACTGCATGCTTGTTGTAATATCTCTTATTTATTACTCTGTTACATGCAAGAAGCATTTAGATTCTTAATCCTTTCTCCCCTCTTGTAAATTGAAGAATATTTCTCCAAATATTTATTGTGGCTCGCTTTAATCACCGCCATCCTTGCCTTAAGCCCTTAACCCTGATACGTTGAGATTAGAGGCATGAAATTTATAGTGATTTAGTAACACTGTTACTTCATGCAGAAAAAAACATTATCAAATTTGTCAAATGATCTTTTGACAGCCTGCTAAAAAAGAATAATAAGATGAATTTCTGAAACTTTCAAAATCAAAAGGATTTCCACTTGCATGGAAAATATTATATAAGACGTTACTGAAATGAGATAGTTGTGTGTAGTGACTACAGTCATTGTCTCATTGCAAAATTGAATGTTAAACTATCATGTACATCATGCAATTAGCTTTGAGGAAAGTGTCAAATAAACCATTCAGCTTGATAGTTAAATTGCACCTTCCTACTAAAAAACTCCTCTGAATTTTCTAAACTCAACATATTTTGCTAGTAAACAATCAGTTGCTCATTAGGTGGCCTGCCACACGTAAAATTCTAAATCTTATTTTTGAAATGGGCCATAAATTGATTCAGCGCAGGCTTTGCAGCTCGGGCTAGCCATAGAAATCCCATCGCAATACTTTTAAGTATTTCTCTCAGCCTTGCTATCCATAGCTCTCTCCCTGGGCACTGTTTTTGTTGTCAGATGGAAATGTCAGGGAAGAAATTATTTCATAAGCCACTCAACACTTTGGGCACCACAAAATTTAAAAACTCTTGTCCTCATCAATAAAAATATAAAATAAAAAATTTGCAAAGCACGATGTTTTAGAAATATTTGGCCATGGGTTAGGCTTCACATCTCTCTTCATGCTATTTCTTGATGACGGATGTGACAAGGGAGGAGGTGAATCTGTGGATGATTCCGACTGTCAATTGTGGCATCTGACAATATCATGGTAAATCCCTCATCGAAACCTGGTAACCAGGTGCATCTAGATTGAAAGCACTGTGCGATTCATTGTCCCACACTGCTGCTTGTTTGAGGTGCCCACATTCGGTTTTTATCAACAGCAGCCGCCGTGAGTAGCCGAGTTCTTAGGGGTGGCCCGATGGGGGAAGACTGCAAGAATGAACTTAAGGTTTTTATTACTAGTATTTATTTTTGTTCTGATTACCTAGGGTGTATTTTTTGTTTCCGGGCCCAATTCATTATCCACATTAGAAAGAAGAAATAAAATTTACAAGTGGCAGACAACCTGATCAGCTAACTGTATTTACCTATAAATTATGAAACTTTCTGCTACTGCTTTTTTACTTGAGTGTAACATCTTCACTGGAGGTAATTTGTTAGGGTCAAATTCCAGTATCATGCCAAGCTCTATGGCTTATTGACATTTTTCCCAATCCTATTTGTGTATTAACTTTTACTTATACTGATGGGTGTTTTTTTTTTAAAATTGAACCAATTTATAGTCATATACCTAATTAGATCAAAAATTTGCTTTCACAGGCATATGCATGAGATCACTTTTTCAACTGTTGACAAGCCAAAGCTTCTGGCTCAGGTGTGTTCTTTGCCATCCCTAACCACTTTTTCATAAAAATGTTTTCTTTTTTGATATTCTCCTTAAAAGGATTAGTTAATTGAATATTAATACTTAATAGCAGTATTATTTCATCTTGAGCCTTTCAACCCTCCTTTTATCACCACATTTTGGTTTTGCAGTTAACTTCTATACTTTCCGAGGTTGGACTCAACATTGAAGAAGCTCATGTATTTTCAACTACAGATGGATTCTCCTTGGACGTCTTTGTAGTTGACGGCTGGCCTTATGAGGTATAGCATGATCTATCTTTAGATGGACGTAGACATTGGAATACATACTACATACTACTCCATAGCTCTTAATCTTTCAAATAATAATGTCACGCGTCCTGAAACATCTTTGGCCACTGGGAAGTTGACAACAGCAACAACAACAACCCAGTAGAATACCACGAGAGTAGGGGGGCACTGGGAAGCTGAGCTCTTTTTAATCTATGGTTTAGGTCTGGAAGTGAAAAATTGTGTATAATTTGGGCATATAAGGAGTACATGTGTTAGCATCGTTTTGTCTTTGGGTTGTGTTACTTTGTACTAAATCATTTGTTTGAATATTCAGGAAACTGAGATGCTAAGGGGTGAGATTAAAAAGAAAATACTGAAGATTAAGGTAACTTTTTATCCTTGCTCATCATATTTGAAAGAGTGGATTAGCTGCCAATTGTGATTCTCCATTCTCCTTGTAAATTACTACGTAGTTGCATTGTGCCTTTGTATATTAATACGCACTCGATTCTTCTACACTATGTTTTAACATTGGTAAATGTTTTCCTCAGCCCATTATTTGTAGAGTATGAGCAGCTAATGATTCTGCTGGCAATATTTCATAGGAGCAGCCACAACTCATCCCGACCCCTACTGATAATCCTTGCCAAACATCATCTGAATCTAACTCTATTGGATGTGTAAAGATACCCACGGATGGAACTGATGATTGGGAAATTGATGCATGCAAGTTGAAATTTGAAAACAAAGTTGCTTCTGGTACATTTGGAGATCTGTAAGTTTCACGAGTTCAGTTTAACATTATATAGTTGTGTTTAGTGTGTACAGTCTTAGTAGACCATCATATGTGCCCTTTGCAGATATAAAGGTACATATTGTAGTCAGGATGTGGCCATTAAAGTCCTTAAGGCAGATTTGAGTACGGATATGTTAAAAGAGTTCTCTCAGGAGGTCTACATCATGAGGTTTGTTCAATAAATGTTCAGGGTTTATTATTTACTGACTCTATGTTAGATGTATAATGCAGAGTATCGTTTTATATGTATGAGTTATGATGCCTATTACTCAGTCCCCCCCTTTGTAAATAAACATCACTTTTATTGTTCACTTGATCAACTATATCTTCTTTCCTTATTTGCTTCAATCATTTGTTAGAAATTACCTTTTGTTTAATAGATTTCATGTACTTTCCAAGCATATACTCCGTAAATTTCATATATAAAAATTCTACAGAAATTTTTAAATGAACTAAATTAAAAAATAATAATCATTTATCGTAAACCAAAATGTGAATTTTATTTACGGACAAAGGAGGAATTATTATCGTGGTTATTGTTATTATTAGTGATGTTGCTGTTATTTTTTAAATAATTATCATCATATTGTTTTTCTATGACAAATAGGAGTTCTTTTTCTTTTGCTTTTGTAACTGAAACCATTTGGGCTTCTTATTCTTGAGAAAGTGCCTAACTTAGCTGTAATCAGCCTTTTGTCCTTCACTGAGGATGATTTAATTATGGGAAAAGTGCGAAGAATATGAATTTTTGACATGGTAAATCATGAGAATGTATGGAAGTATGTGATACTATATGGAGAACATTGTTCTGGCAATCTAAATTAAAATTAACCTTCTCAGTTGTCTGTATGGCCTCCAGTTTTTTATGCAGTGTTTTTTCTACTCTTGTTTTAACATTCATATTAATTTTTTATTCTTTTAGAAAAATCCGACACAAAAATGTCGTCCAATTTATAGGGGCATGTACACGGCAGCCAAACTTGTGCATTGTGACTGGTAATTTGTCTAAACCTTAAAGTTATACGGGGTAATAACTACATACAGCATTAGAAGTGTAACATGTACATTTCTTTGCTTCTGTTCTAATGTTGTAATAACAGAGTTCATGTCAAGAGGAAGTGTGTATAATTTTTTGCACAAGCAAAAAGGAACGTTTAAGCTTCATAGTCTACTCAAGGTTGCAATTGATGTTTCAAAAGGAATGAGCTATCTTCACCAAAATAAAATAATTCACAGGGATTTGAAGACTGCCAATCTTTTGATGGATGAGCATGGAGTAAGTTGCTTATTATGCATGTTAACTGCGCCTGTTCTTTGTAAATATGAATTCATCACAGCATGTTGAATATTTCAAGATATGACTGGGGAAAATATGTTCTTGGTTAGCGGTGGCAGACACATTTGGTCTTTCTCATTCTTTAAAGAGGAAAATGGTAGGCTATGTGTGGTGCTCAGAAAATGGTATGTGAAGGGGGAAAACTACCATGGTATGTAAAGGGGGGAACTACTGAGCATTTTTCAATTTTGGATATGGGTTTTAAAATACAAAGCATGAACAAAAATGAATATGATACGAGCTTCTTAAACTTGCATATATTTTTATTTCTCAGTCTTTATATGATTGAAATATATAAATAGAATGACTTTGAAAAATATGGACTTTGAACAAATCATAGTTATCAAGGCGTCGCCTAGGCATCCTGGCGGTCAGCTCCTCTCGCCATGGTGTATCGCCTTGCCTTATTTCGCATCCCCCTCGCGTAGCCTCGCCTTGCTGTCTAGGCATCGCCTTTTGAACATCCTTTTTGCCTTATAGTCAGTATACTCTGTATTTACTTTGCAGTAAGGAGTCACATATTGTGTTTTAAACATACTTCGTATTTCATATTTCATATCCTTCTTTTTTCCCCTTCATATTATGGTGTGTTTATATTAGTGTTACTTAGTGTTACTAATGTATACCGATCCTGGTTTCTTATGTCTTGCCGCTTAGCTCGCCTAATTGTTGCCTAGGCAGTCGCCTAGTCGTCTAGGCGTCATGGAGGTCCACTTGTGCTGTGCCTTGCCTTGGCGCCGTGATAACTACGGAACAAATTTATTCCCCCCACCCCACATCTGCAAAAAGTTCCTTTACATAATTTCATACTATTTTTCACCATAGTTTCTACCCTAACATTTCCGGGTTTCAAATGGACCATTACTTTCTGTTGAACTTGTTATCTCTCTTGACTTTGAAAGGTGGTCAAGGTGGGTGATTTTGGGGTTGCTAGAGTGCAGTCTCAATCTGGTGTCATGACTGCAGAAACTGGAACGTATCGCTGGATGGCTCCAGAGGTATATGCAAATTTGATATTTCTGGATATCTTTTCTCCTAGAGTTTCCTTCTAAGGAAGTTTAAATGTTGGAGGTTTTGTCAATTGAAGGTGATTGAGCACAAACCGTATGATCACAGAGCAGATGTTTTTAGCTTTGGAATAGTGATGTGGGAACTTCTTACAGGAGAAGTAAGTGCCTGTTGCATTTCATGCTTCCTCCATAACTACTGAATACTGCTATGTCCTTATGTCCTGTTATGAAACCAACCAAATGCGCACAGGTTCCATATGCATACCTGACTCCTTTACAAGCAGCCCTCGGTGTTGTGCAACAGGCAAGTCTCTCTGGACAGTCCAATTTTTTAAGATATTTGTTCACTCGTATAATTGCAATTATTAAGGTAATACCAAACATTTATAATATAAAAAAACTATCTCCTTGGTTTCCCCCTTTCCCTATCATTTTATGCCTTCGGATTGTAGCATTAGCAAAAGCATAAACGGAGAGTAATGTACTTATTTGAACTGATTACATGGCTTGTCAGGGTATGAGGCCAACAATCCCCAAGGACACACATCCTAAGCTTACAGAACTGCTAGAGAGATGTTGGCAGCAAGACCCCACACGAAGACCCGAATTTCCAGAGATTTTGGAGATTTTGCAGCGAATTGCCAAGGGGGTAACCTATTCATTACCCTAAAAATATATCTTGCTGGTGTTTGCTCTGGACAGTGTAAAAAAGATGGTAGTAATAACTCGAACCTTTTTTTTTAATGTGGCAAAAACAGGTTGGAGATGATGGAGAGGAGAAGCACAAGGAAAAATCGATTGGTAGCTTTTTTCATTCCTTTAGAAGAGCACATCACTAAGCTGTTTTGTTGAAGAATGTGAGGTGTGTTTGATAAAATGTAGAGTTTTCCTGAAAACTGCGGCTTATAATTGTGAATTCGGTGCTTCCATTTTGATCTATAAACCGTGAGATTGTTCATAGAATGTTAGGTTGGTCAATGGTGTCCTTAAAGACATGCAATTCTGTACATAATTCTTAGAACTTCTCATTTGCTAATACATTAAAATCATCTGTTTTCCATTCAACTAGTATCTACTGCTGTGTGATCGAAGTGAACCCCAATAAAATTTTAGTTTGTGAACAACACTCATTTTCATGAAAAACTTTGTACTCCTTTCATTCCAAAAAACATGGGATAATGTTTCATGTACTTCTGGCACAAACGTTAACAAAGTCCTAATTTTTGTATACTCGTTTTGGTGTTGCTACTATGCACGAAGGTACGCATTCTTGTCTTGTGAAAGTTTGTTTTTGTTAGACCGAAGAAGTATTACTTTGCCGTTAAACTTCATAAAAGGTAAGAAGCAAAAGAAGTTTAATGGGTCATTTTATTTTGTCTATTACTCTGTATATGTTCAAAACTAAAACATTGTCGAACATATACAAAGTATTTCATGTCCTGTGTAAATGTCACGATCAATCAACAATCGATTGAACTCTAGACGTATACGCTAACGCATTTGTTTATATTATTCTGTATAAATAACTAAGTATTCTTTTTTAGTGCTATTGATTCGATCACAATGTAGTATCTGTTCATAATCATCAAGTATCATAGGCTTCATAGCATACACGTTATGAATATCCATTGATAGGCGTATTGTTTAGTAGAGTTATTGAAAATGTAGCTTAGTTATTGAAAGTGAAATACGGAGTATCATTTACCATTTGATTATTTAATGACTCTAATATTAAGGGTATGTATATGATATTGCTTATTTACTATTTACATATTTACTATTTACAAATGGAAAATGCTAGAGTCACAAATATATAGTTCACAAACTTCACAAATTTGTCTTTTATGGATTTTAAATTATAATATCTTTTATTATTTGAGTACATCTTATTTCTAGAAAACTATTAAAAAGGCAAGTTTGTGAATTTTGTAAACTGTTTATTTATGACTTTAGCATTACTCTTTACAAATCAAACTTTAACTCTAACATTCTTTTCACTTATTGTTTTGTAAATCTGTTGATGTAATTTTTAAATATATAAATTTTATTTTTTAATTTAACGCCAATTTTCAAATAAATTACGTTGGAAATAATTTTAGTCCCCAAAGCTTGTAAGCAATATGTGATTTAAATTGTGATGGAGGGAGTATATCAATTTTTCAATAAAATTTACTAAAATAAAATTGAAAATATTAAAAAATCATTTTGTGTATCAAGCCGAGCAGAAATTATAAATATTGCTAATATTTTACACGAAAGAAGTATTTATAGCAAAATGTCATTTTTGCCTATATAAAAATTTGCTATCACTCGGCGAAGTCTCGCTCCGTACAAAACCATTTTTAGATTTTTTTTGCCTATTTATTGACAACCAGTTTCTCCACTTTTCCCAATCCATTATTATTATTTTTTTATAGTTAGGTTTCTATTTGGTTTGACTTTATTAGTATTTGTATTTCTTTCTTTTTTTTAACCTCTCCCATTATGTACGTTCTTACATGAGCAATTTAATAAATTAAAAACGAAAAAAATGAATGCATTTCTTCAAGTCCATAATAAATTAAATGCATTGTTCCCTTCAAAAAAAATGTATTATCTTTTTCAACAACTTGAATCTGTGGCTCTACAAGTGTTTGTTGTAGCTTGGGCTAGAAGATCATCATCTGATTTTTATAACTCTATCACTGTCTTTTAATCATTTTTTATATGACCTTTGTCTCATAACTACTCCGTATTCCATTGACATAATTTTGATAGACAGAATTTTTATTTAAAAAGTATAGTAGAAAATTTTGAAAAGACCATAAGAAAAAAGTTAAATGTAGTCCAACCCATTGGCAATAGTGAATGGATGGGGGGGTGATTAGTCGGTAACATAAAAGGGGGTGATAGGAACACCCCAAGAAAACTCTAACGGTATGTTTGGATTGAGATCTCTAGAGTTTTATTAGATAGGTAATGGTAGATAGTCGAAAGCATGAAAAGTAAGGTAATAAGTTATAAATTTGTGTTTGGATATTTAGGACTTGTTCTTTAGGACTGGAAACAAAAAGCTGTGTGTTGGAAGGAACTGGAAGAAACGGGAAAAACTGGAAAGAACAGGAAGAAACTGGAAGAAATTGGAAAAACTGAAAAAATTTAAAAGAAACTGAAAAAACTAGAAAAAATTAAAAAATCTAAAAAAAGTTTTAAAAATTTTTTTATGTGTGGTTTTATATTATTCTCATTCTGATTCTTGTTGTTATAAATTATTATTATTGTTGTTGTTGTTGTTGTTGGTGGTGGTGGTGGTGGTGTTATCACGTTATCTTAATAATTATTTTTAAGATAAAAAAATATTACGAGTATTATTTTTCATATATAAAAAGCTAGTTTAAAAAAATTATTAGAATATAAAATTAGCATAAATATTACACTTCTTGGGTCATTTTTTCTTTTTCAAAATGTAGTTCTCTCTTGGTTTTCATAATGTAGTACTCCCCACCACATTCCATATTTTATGTTTTAGATTAAAATATTGATGTTTACATTATATAAATTTAGATTAAAAAATATTCTATATAATTATTTATCCATAATTTTTTTAAATAGTTTCCTAATTTTTCATGTAGATTAATATACAAAAAAACGGTATTATTCATATTAAAGAGTTGAAAAAACTAGAAGAATGAATATGAATCATAAAAATATTTAGATGAAAAAATGAAATAATTTATAAATTATAGTTATGTATGTATGTATATGTATGTATGTGTGTGTGTCTATATATATATATATATATATATATATATATAGAGAGAGAGAGAGAGAGAGAGGCCTGGTTCTTGTGAGATTGGAACTTGTGTAGACAAATGAGAATGACTCATTTTTATTCGCACATGGTGCATTTTTCTACGTAGGTAGTGCAACAGGGATTAGAAGCTATGAGGGAAGTTTTGACCAATATTAGAGGTGGAATAGAAAAGATTTGGGGTAGTCGTGTTAATACGAAAGCGTGGAAGTTGTATTGTAAATCTAGGGAAAGAAAACCAATAACATTTGTTAAAGAAATCACCATTAGATCAAATAGTATATATATGTTGATTGCACAGATTCTAAGCTAGAAGGATGATCTTGCTACATTTTTTAGAAATGAACTTCATTATATGATTTAATTGAATGAGTTTATTATTGTTGAAAAATTGAATGCCGTATTAGAAGTTTTTAATAACGCAACTCTTACTTTCTCGCATGTTTACCAACAACTACAAACGGATTTTTTAAAGAATGTGTTACAATTGCAAGTTTATCTGATCCAGAGTTGTACCCTCATGTCTCTCCTATGAGGGATAAATGGTGTGCTTATTATTTGTATATTCCTGATATTTATAAAATTAGTATTATTTGTAATCCTCGCTTTCAAATTGAAAATTTTCGAATTCTGATTGAGTATTACTACAGTTCTTTTTAGATCAAAATAATTATTACTACAATCATTTAATAGAATGGACAAAAGAAACAAATAATTGTTGGGAATTAAACACACAACACACAAAAATAATTTGCGAGAAACGAGAGAGAACGGAACAAGGAAGACACACAAGAATTTAACGTGGTTCGGTTTCCTTAATCCACGGCTGCAATAGGAGGATTTCTATTTCACTTGTCGTGTCTCACGGAATTACAAGTACAAGGTGTGCATATATAGGAAAACACCTAGGGTTACGAAACTTGTTCCCCACGAAACAAGAGACAAACGAGCTAAAAAATAAAACGGTCTGATCCAAGTCGGGCCCAAACGTATCTAGCCTCCACAAAACCCAACATTCTCCCACTTGGAGGCTTGATAATCATCAACTGCCATCCACCACGATTGCTTGTACATCGAGTAATCTTCCTCAGCTCTCCTGTTGCAGCGGCTCTATCATCAGACAGCTGAAAGGCACGTTGAAGCTCTCCCAAGCTCCAACACATCAGTCACGGCTAAATCGACCCGTGACTCGTTCTCGGTCCCTACCGGCTCCCACTACAGAAGCACACTGCCGGATCCTGGAACATCCTGAGAACAAACACTCTCCATACTCAGCAAGAAATTTTCTGGAGATGTTCCAACAGCTAGAATACTGGTTCTCGTGACCCACTGTCTTTTAGGAAACTTGGCTGAAGCGCCTCTTGAGCTCCCACTGCCACAAATACCTCTGACTGGCCCCCTTAAACCTTTCCTCGCTCGTTCATCCTGAGTCTGACCTGTAGCTCTAGGTTTCTCTCTTGCAAAGACAACCTTCTTCTGCCCATGAGATTCTGTGAACCGGACTTTGTTTCTCTTCTAAACTGGGACGGTCACTCCCTCAGACGGTAACCCAACCATGTACAACGAACCACTCTTCCTTCCGCGGGTCATGACAAGATTTTCCTTTATGACCTTCCACTGCCCATCTCTGAACTTCACCTCGTGTCCCTGTTCGTCCAACTGCCTGACAGAAATCAAACTTTTCTTCAAGTCTCGAATCACCTCCTTGCACTTCCAGCACGTTACACCTGAGCTATCCCGAGTCTTTGACTGACTCTTTCGTATGTTCTTGCTCCCACTACCTCTGTTATTTCTTCTGCCTCTACCAACATGAAGCAATTCACCAGATGACTCTCCTGAACTCTTTCTTCTGACATCCTCGCCAAGAACGAGATCTTGAATCTGATCAAAGGTGGGGTCCCACTGAACCAGTAACCACTGTAACCGTTCCGGACCACTATCAGGTAAAGACGATAGTAGTAGCAAAGCTTGAACTACATCATCGAACTTAATGCCCACTGACAAAAGTCTGGCTAAGATCGAATTCAACTTATTGATATGCTCGGAAACTAAAGTGTCTTCTTTCATCCTTGTGTTCACCAGCTCTCTGATTAGAAAAACTTTGTTCGCTGCAGATGGCTTCTCGTACATGTTAGACAATGCTTCCATAATTCCCTTCGCTGTCTTCTCCTTCAGAATGTTGAACGCACCATTCTTGGTCAATGAGAGACGGATCACAGACATAGCTTTTCGATCCAAACCTGCCCAATCTGCATCCGACATCTTTTCTGGCTTATCACCCAAAACCACGTCCAAATCTTTCTGAACCAGCAAATCTTCAATTTGCATCTTCCACCCACTGAAATCTTTACCATCAAACTTCTCAATTCGGAACTTCCCATTTTCTGTCATCTCAAATGACTAGACGAGATACCCCGTACAACTAATTTCAGATCTTGGTATTTTTCCGTTAGAAAATCAGGCCGACCACACCAATTAATTAGCCAAAACAAATCAGCCCAATGTCCACCCTTAAGAAAAATTACGGCCCAAACCAAATCAAGAAGAATAGGCAAACCACAGCCGTTTTTTTTCTTCCTCTTCTTTGTTGTTTCGCAAGGCGACTCGCAGATCCGACGGCGGCGGCTCCTTCTAGACGGCGTACAATCTGGACGACGGCGGCTACTCGGCGAGCGGTCGGATGACACCTGCTCGCGGACGGCGGTTGGCGGCTGGACGGAGGGCGGCAGTACCTCCTCTGCGATCTGAACGACGGGCGGCGAATTCCTCTCCCGCTGCTGCGCGATTCTAACGCCACGGTCCTCTGCGCGCGGCCTGTGGCGGCAGCTCGGACGGCGATGGCGACCCACTAGACGGCGACGGCTCTGCCACTGGGTCAGCGGCGCTTTTGATCTGAAATGGAGGCAGGCAGGCAGCTCCTCTGCGTGCGGTTGACGGCACACAGACGGCGGAGATCTAAGAGGTCGACGGCGGCGCTACGAAGGGATGCAGCGGCGGCTCGCAGACAATGGCGAACACCTGTGCAGATCTCTCCCTTCTCGTAACAGGCGGCACACACTTCTCTTTCTTAGACACGCAATCCAACGATCCAGATTGCAAACCCTAGGTGATAGCTTCTCGCTATTCGTGTTCTCGTGTTGAACAACCTGGCTCCGATATCACTTGTTGGGAATTAAACACACAACACACACAAATAATCTGCGAGAAACGAGAGAGAACGGAACAAGGACGACACACAAGAATTTAACATGGTTCGGTTTTCCTAATCCACGGCTGCAACAGGAGAATTTCTATTTCACTTGTCGTGTCTCACGGAAATACAAGTACAAAGTGTGCATATATAGGAAAACACCTAGGGTTACGAAACTTGTTCCCCAAGAAACAAGAGACAAACGTGCTAAAAAATAAAACGGGCAGATCCAAGTCGGGCCCAAACGTATCTAGCCTCCACAAAACCCAACAATAATGTTATTGATCTTTTTGAGGTTTTATTTAAAAATTTCAAGGAATTTATGGTAATGCAGCGGAAGAAACAACACCTCCTCTGCCTCCCAAAGCAAAAAAAAAGTTTTAAAGGGATAGTCGGTGGGCTTTGGAAAAAAAAAGGTAAACGTGGTCACGCTTCGACGAGTTCAGGTGGTACAACTGTAAGGTCGATTACGACGACGACGTGGACTATGACGTCCTCGAATGGTGGAAGCGGAACGAACATATGTTGTGGAACAAGAATTCAGTTCGAGGAATAAGTTATACTCTTTTTTTTATATGAATGTAAGTAGTTTTTTAGGTGAGCGATATATAAGCTTTTTCGAGGGTTTCTTTATGGTTCTCTACCTTATCACTTTTTTTGAATCGTCAGGATATTAAATGTAGCTATTCGTGTATTACTCATTTTTCAATATTTTAATAACAACTACATTTTTAGATATTTAATTTCATTATTTCCTTTAATACTTACAATTTTATAAGTTTTTTAAAAAATAGGAAGGTGGCCGAAACCGGCCGGTACAGTACCGAAACCGCCAGTACCGTCCGGTCTGGTAACAGTGGCGGTTCTGAGGGGTGGAGGTACCGGAACCGGCGGTTCCAGAACCGGAACCAGACCGTGTCCACTCCGTGTTTACATACTTAAATCATTTACAGTAAGACTTTTAGGTTAATTTTCTCTTTCCATTGAGGTCACTAGTCTTCGAACCCGTGCATTGCACGGACCGGACATAAGTTTTATGTGAATATACACATTTCCTAGAAACAAATTATTTTTAGAAATTCTTGCGTATTTAATATTCATAAGTTATTGAGTTAACCAATAGTAATTCCCAAACACTAAAAAACATAGCTTTGAACACAATGATTTCAATTTTTGTCTTCAAGCTATTGTCTTGATATAAAATTTATGTCCGCAGTTGAACATTGGAACCAAGATCTATGTTTGGTAACATGAAAAGCGACTTAGGTATAGCTAACCATGACTGAGAGCTAAATTTTCATGGGTATAAATAGCATATAGTATGAGGTGACCAACTCTATACATAAAATGCATGTATTTGTTAAATCTTTTTTTATTTCATTAGACATAAAGGTTGACTTGAGCCACACATTTCTTTTTCTCGATTCTCGAAAATATAAAGCATGCATTTTTCAAGTTTTTGCTTTTTTCATTTTTCCATAAAGAATAATGATGAAGCACGCGATCTTATGGCTACACATCCAACTCTCCATATTAAATGCACATATTTGTTAAATCTTTTCTTTTATTTGATTAGACATAAAGATTGCATTGAGCCACGCATTTCTTTTTTTTCGATTCTCAAAAACATAAAGCATGCATTTTTCAAGCTTTTGCTTTTTTCGTTTTTTCATAAAGAGTAATGATAAAGCACGCGGTTTTATGGCTACACATCCAGCTCTCAACAATAAATACATATATTTATCAATTTTTTTTCTTATTCAATTAGACATAGAGATTGTCTTGGGCCGCACATTTCATTTTCTCGAAAACATAAAGCATGCATTTTTCAAGCATGCATTTTTCAAGCTTTTACTTTTTCGTTTTTTCATAAAAAGTAATGACCAAGCACGTGATTTTATGGCTACACATCCAACTCTCCACATTAAATGCATATATATATATATATACATTACAGTAAGACTTTTAGGTTAATTTTTTCTCTTTCGATTCAGGTCATTGAATTTTCAGGACCAATCTTGTGAGAGAAAAATAATAATAATGATATCAAAAGTAAGATCAAATTTGAGTATTCAAAGCATGAGTGCATGACCTTGAAAGTTCAACCCATCTCAAAAGGCAAAATACTTAGAACTTGGACCGGCTCCTTTCCCTCCACCTTCCAACAAGTGGGTTTCGAGTTTGGAGTCACAAACGGGCAGCTCATACTCATATACATATATCTATATATATATATATGGACTATGGAGGGTGGACTGGGCAACGTAACGGATTTGTTTTTTTTATTTAAAAAAAAGGCGTCACGCCACGTCACATCGGTACAAAAAGGAAGATCCTTGCGAATATTCCTCCGTGGGCCCCACTCTCCTTCAATCGCCTCCTCCTCTCCTATCCGCGCCTACATTACACCGCCTTTCGCCCGTCGTTTTCTTATCCCCTCCCTCCCTCTCTCTCTCCCCCCCCCCAATATATCTATACACTGTACCGTACCCTTCCGGAGTATATAAATCACGAAACGCTCTCTCTTTCTTCATTCAAACCGCAAATTCTTCCTTCTAACCGTCGTCATGATTCCCGCTCCAGATCAAGAGCAGCTCCTCCAGGATCTCCAGGTTTTCAAGATCAAAGGCAAAGATAAGCGCGGCCGCAAAATCCTCCACATCTTCGCGAAGTTCTTCCCTGGTACGAACAATCGATTATATTCCGTTTTTTATTTTTGTTTGGAATTTGAAGTTTTCTGTGCTGATTTCCGTTTTGTTTCGCCGATCAGCGAGGATCGTGAGCGTTGACGTCGTGAATAAGTATCTCCGGGAGAAGGTTTTCCCCGAGCTCGATAACCGGCCGTTCGCTGTGCTGTACTTCCACACCGGCGTCGAGAAGAGCGAGAACTTTCCCGGAATTTCAGCCCTGCGGTCCGTCTACGACTCCATTCCGGCCCCCGTCCGGCAGAATCTCGAGGCCGTGTACTTCGTCCACCCCGGCCTTCAGTCCAGGCTCTTTCTGGCCACCTTTGGCCGGATCATCTTCTCCGGAGGGTAATTTCTCTCGAATTTCCGATCGATTCAACCGCTCTCCTAACCCTAATCGCTCCAATTGATTTAGCAATTGATCGATCGTGTTCGTTTGTTTGTTTTGGCAGATTATACGCGAAGCTGAGGTACGTGACGAGGCTGGACTACCTGTGGGAGCACGTGAGGAGGAACGCGATTCAGATCCCGGAGTACGTCCACGATCACGACGCCGATCTGGAGTACCGTCCGATGATGGACTACGGCGTAGAGACGGACCACACTAGGGTCTACGGTACGCCCGCACTCGATACGCCCGACCCGATGCACTCCATGAGATGCATCGCGTAGTAGTCACAACCCCCCCGGCCCACTACGACGTCGTTGCGAGGTTTAGGAGCGTGGGACGCACGCACTCAAACGATATGTGTGCTTCCAGTCGCGTTTATGTCAATTTCTAATATTGCAAAAATGCCCCTCTTTTTTTCTTTTGTATATACAGCGCCAAATGTTGTTGTTTGTTGTGGCTTCTTTCACATGGCTTCGGTTGTGCGTGGCTTTTCAATCTTTCAACTGTTTCAAGTATAGGTTTTGGGCTAAATTTGGTCTCATTCAAATGCTTCATTGATTGTTTCATTAATTTGACTTTTACACATTGTTTGGATAAAAAGAGAAAATGTGTGGAAAGAAAATGGAGGGAAAGAAAATAGAGAAGAAAGAAAATGAAGAGAAAATAAGAAGAAAATAAATGTTGTTTGGATAGGTAGAAAATAGAGAGAAAAAGTAGGAGGAAAGAAAATGTATTAAAATAAAAAGATAACCTTACCCTTATTCTATATGAAAAGTGAATATAGTAGAAGGTAAAAATGTCATTTCCAAACTTTTCTCTCCCTTTGGCCAATTTTCTCACCCCAAGAGAGGAAAAAACTTTTCATCTCCTTTTCCATTCCCTCCCCATTTTCTCCTCCAAACAAACACATGAAAATTTTTTCGGAATTGTGTTTTCCTCTCAAGACTCTTCTTTCCTTCTATTTTCACCTCATTCAAACACAAGCTTAACTTGTCAGCCGAATTATTAGAGTTTAAAATTTTTATGTTCTAATTGAGACTTAGAGCCGTGGCAGAGGCATTTGCCTCCCACGCCCTGCCACATTAGATTTTTGCCTTGCTAACCGCATTGCATATCATTGACGTGTCACTTGCTTTCCATGGCATATGCGAGTCAATCTATTGCTTTTTTTCTTTTTTTCCTTTTCTTTTTCTTGATTTGTTTTGACAAGAAACTTTTTTGAAGGCATTATACCTAAAAATTGGTATATTTTGGCGTTAAAATAACCTTTGTTTGCGTGTATTTTTCCATGGTTCAATTAATAAAATAGAATTTTTTTTAACAATTGTTTTTAAAAAATTGGGATAAAATGTACTCCCTCCGTCCCAAAAAGTTTGTTACGTTTAGAAAAAATTGCGTCCCATAAAATTCGTTACATTTCTATTAAAAACCACTTTACCCTTTACTTTTCCATACCCTACCTATCACATCATACCTTTTCCTAATAATCTACCCATCACATCCTATTTTTACCCATCACATCAAGGGTATTTTTGGAAAGTCAATACCAAAATATTCCTCCTTTAATTTTTCAAAAAGTCAAACCGTCTATTTTCTTGTCAATTTGTAAATAATAACAATTTAAAAGAGATGATCTTTTACAAGTTGTTTGAAAGAGGATAATTTTTTTGGGACAATGGAGTAATTTTATACTCCATTCGGCCAATGCAACAATAATAATATTTTTTCCCAATTTTATTTTTCACCATTTCAAGCATTTTACAAAATAAGTAGTGATAAGAATAATTTATTTTATTAAATATACCATGAAAAAGGGAAGCACAAAAAGTAAAATAGTAACTACGACATTTTTGGGAACGGAGAGAGTATAAACAAAGTAGGATTGTTTTTATCAAAATATTAAAAAAATAAATTTTAATAATTAAATACATAAAAATGTAAAAAAGTAACAAAGATAATGACTTGCCACTGCAATGCATGCCACTCCACGTTCTTGCCACACGATGACTGAACTATTTTTTATTGGTTGAAATATTCCATGTCAACGTGTGACATTCCATTTTTTGCATTACCATTGCACGTGCTCTTAAATTTCAATCACCAAGATTCATGTGCTTAAGTGTTGAAGCATTGGAGCATAAATTTTTTTCTGTATCTACGATATACTCCCTCCGTTACAAATTATATTGTCTGTTTCGATTTACGATGTTTGACTGAAGTTATTTTTAGGTCATTGTATATAAAAAATTATGTAGAATTAAAAATAAAAATTATATATTTAAAAAACTACACCAAAAGTCCTACAAAATTAGTGATGATATAACTATATTATTTTATCAAATGACTAACGAAAATAGTGAAAGAAAGTTTAATAAAGTTTGACCATGTGAATAATAAATAAACAATTTAATTTGGATCTTAGTTTTTAGTTTAATTAGTTTTTTAACATGCTATAAAAGTCTTAGGGTCATGCATTTAATCTTGTTTGATGAGTTTTGGGGTTGTTTAATGAATTATGAAATTATGAAGAAATTTTAGTGTGGTGTTTGACATTTTATGGGCCCTAGGCCGAATAAAAGAACTACTCCGGGGTATATCCAAGCAATGGAACAAATGAGGAATATTATTTAATTGATTAAAATGTTGATTTGTTTATTGAACCAATTAAGTGTTGATCTTATCCTCATACTTTACATTTGAAGCGGTATCTTTGACTCGTGTAGCACTAAAAATACATGTTTAATTTGAATGTGAATTTTGACATTATGGTTGCTAATTGTTGAAAATCAGTATGAAATTTTGTATTTTTTTTTAACAAAAACAACGGATGGTAGTAAAAGTTTGGGCCCATTGTCTTACCCTTTTTGACCGGTCTTGAGAAATGGTATGGAGTGTTTCCTCCCTTTGGGAAAATCTTCTCATTTAAAGAAGTGTTAAATTAATAATAATTTTTAATTTTGTTATAGTAAAAGTAAGATGTGATGAATATATTATTAGAGAAAATATATGATGTGATATGTAGGGTAAGAAAAAGTAGGGGTAAAAGTAAATTTTTAATAGAAAATGAAAGTATTTTGGTGGAAGAGAAAAAAAATTAAAGAGGAAGTGTTTTGGTGAAAGATGGAGCATATGTTTTGAAATTTATATTGAAGTTATTTGGAGAGATATAAATCATGTTTTGATTAGGAATAATAGAGAATGGTTGGCGGAGAATGATAAGAAGTACAGTTTTATACGAGCAAGATATCCACCAGTGTTTTATGCAAGAATGTTATGTAAATACCCTGTTTTACTCGTTGAAGTTAGAGTAAATTTCATAAATGGTATCCAGTCACAAGTGGTTTCCCATATTTAGTCTATGACTTTTAGATAATCCATAAATAGTATTCAATTTTGGAAAACTATTTCGTAAATAGTCCTTAGGCCAAATATGAAGAAATGTTTCTTCCACAAATAGTTCCTGAAAGACTAATTATGGAATAGTTTTCGAAAATCATTTATGGAAAATCTAAGAATTGATGACTAAATATAGAAAATCATTTGTAATTAGAAATTATTTATGGAATTTAATATTGAAATTAATTATGACATTGTTTGAGGATAATGTTTAGTGTTTTAAATAAAATTTTGTTGGTGTACTGTTATATAAGTAGCTTACGAGCACACACAAAGAGTCGAAGTCCAGCTCTAACAAGCTTTTTTATTCACATAAAAGAAGTCATGCGTGTAACTTCACTTAATTTTAGGAAATACGGAGTAATTGAATTATTACTATCAGATTTGACTGATTATATAATATTAACCCATCTTTTCTTTTGTGCGAGAAATCATCTGATTTGAAATTGCCACTTTAGCCCGGTTCAGTCAACTTCAAATTTAATTATCAATCGTGCTATGGGTACACCACTTTGTACCCCAGTGGTGTACCCCATATACCCCCACCCCTTGAGTAAGCTAATCCCACCCAACCATCTTCTCTCCTCTCTCCTCTATCTCTGTCCTCACCCACCCCGTCTCCCCCCCCCTTTCTTCTTCCATTTTGTGCCCAAGTAATCCATCATACCGGCAAAGGCGTGCGAGTGGTGCGACGGTGTGTTGCTTCATCGGAAAAAGAAATTGAAGAACGGCCTGCGAGTGGTGCAACGACGAGTTGCTTCACTGGAAAAAGAAAGTGAAGAACGGCCTTCATCGGAAAAAGGAATGGACTAAGGTGTGGTAAGTGAAGAACGATGAGGCAAGGGAGATGCATTCCCAACTAATATTTTAGATTCGATGCTTAACCACGGGAGAATTATGAAGTTGCATCAACATCTCCTCTTATCACAGGTTAGTATTTATTTCTTATTGCACTAGCATGAAATGTTTGTGTTATGTTAGAGTCTAGTTTTAAACAGGTAGGAAATGTTCATTCATTGAAAAGACTTTGTTTTCTTGGGCATTTATTATCTACTTTCAGGTTTACTTGTTTTGCACCAGCAATTAGGTCAGTGCAATAGGGTAGTATGTAGGTTTCACCTACAGATACTGTCATGTCAGATATTTATTCTCTGCTTTTAGTTTATTTGTTTTGCACCACTAATCATGTTTGTGCTATGAGGTAATATGTAGGTTTCACGTACAGATATTGTCAGGATCGACATTTATTCTCTGTTTTTGTTATGTTTTGCACGAGCACTTTATATCTGTGCAAAGAAGTAGTATGTAGGTTTCACCTACACATAATGTCAGTTTGATTAAATGTGGTGAGCTTTTTTATAGATGAATGTGAAGCACATGAAATGTGTGACTTTGGTGGTGATGGAGTAATATTAAACCCACATCCCAGTAAGTTCTTTAGTGTATAGGAGTCAAGTATTAATACTTTGTATTCAATTTATGTAGTAGTAAGAGTGGTGTTTAATGTTTGCTGCCATATTTGCAGGGATAACGAATGCACATGATGCAACTACTTTCATTACCCTATTAGAAGACGAGGGAGACTTGCATCTGCAGCGGGCTTTGGGGACTAGTGCAAACACCATAAATTGTAAGTTGTACATATGGAGTTGTTTATGAAACACTGAATGGACATTGACATTTATGTACGTGCAACTCTGCCAAGGGTTGCCTACACAGACAGTTTATGTAGGTGCAAAACAGAAGAGTTAACATGTAGTGCTCGGTGTGCAGGTTTGGACAGTAATGTCGACCTTAAGGTGAACAAGACCAAGTAGGGAAACCCTAAAAAGACATCGACGACCCTTCTTCCAAACATTGGTGACATAGGAAGTGAAAATTTGCCTACGTGGGAATGGCCGGGAGAAGATGGTGTGTATGACCTAACTTGCCCAAGTCTTGATCTCAGGCTATGATTCAGTATATGGGCCATCATTTTTTGTTAAATTTTTGTTATGCATTTGCTCCCACGTTTTTTGGTAAGTAATACCCGTGTAATTTTTTGTCTTCACCACTTACACATGATGTAAATATACTTATTTTTTGTGGGCAAGTTGAACACTAAATATGTGAATATTATTTCCTAATGTGACACTTGAACAGGTTGATGTAATTATTTTTTGTAAATGCACGAAGACTTACAGTCAGGGTGTTACTGGTTGTGTTCAATATCTCGCCTACTTATTCTCTTCAATACACCAACACTTCATATATGTGTGTTACTGTTTATGTTCTACACACCAACACTTAATGTATGTGTGCTAATTTTTCTATTAAATACACCCAGATGTAAACATAGGAAGTGTTACTGGTTGGGTTGAATAAACCAACCCTTAATATGTGCTTTGTACTGAATTAGTTAAATACACCGACATTTCATATATGTGTGTTACTGATTCCCTTCAATACACCGACACTTAATGTCTGTGTCCTCTTGTTTATATTAAAAACACCATGACTTAATGTTAAGATGTAAGTGGTTGTGTACAATTAACAAATTGTATTATACTGATTTTGTTGAATACACCAACACTTCACATATATGTGTTTAGGGTTCTATTCAATACACCATTACTTACTGTCCGTGTGTTATTGTTTATCTTCAACACACCAACACTTAATGTGCATGTGGTACTGCTTATGTTCAAACATTTGAGACAATAATAATATTACACTTAAGGAGTCATAGTTGTGCTCAAATCCAAAAATATATGTGTGTTTTACATGCACAAATAAATATTCATACAGTGAGTAATCATTAAAAGGCTAAAAAAATGCCTTTTATATATTAGCATGGAGGGATAAGCAGTCATAGTTCTGCGTTAATAAAAAACAAATATTGTAAAAGCTTTAGGTGTCCGTCTTCCGAAATATAAATGCTGCACATATTTCCTACGGAAGTCTTCGACATGTTCGTGCGTGCAGTCAGGAAGTAGGGGCAAACCAGCCAAGAGGTACTCCGCGAATGCAAGGATCATAACACCACATGCGTTTCCATCGGACTGCTGGGGCACATCCTTGGCGACCTCCACTCTCCATGGTTGAGTACTTCTATGTTCCTCGGTGGTTTTGACAGTTCGAAAAAGGGGAGGCAGTCTTTCAACGATTGGACGCACATAGGATTTGCTCTGTGCACCCTTCAACGAATCATATACCCAAATAGTCGCATTGGGGAAATCAAGCTCTGCTAAAACCCAATGCCGGTTCCTAGCATGGATAGTCATGAAGACCTACATAAAGATATTCAATCAGGTAACACGTGAGTAAAGAGCAGTTCTTTATCCTAACACTTCATGAGTGTGTTATTCAGTTCCGTAAGAATTGCATTGACAGTTCTTATTAAGAAATTACCTTTTCCATTTGGGTCCATTCCAACTTTTGGGTAGTAATTGAACGACATGAATATATAAACAACATCACATTGAGTGCAAAGAAATCATAGGTCAACGAATATACTAACAAGACCACATACTCAAATGGGTAGAAAACGGACCATTACTCAGGCATTTTGGTAAAAACTGTAGGTGTTAAGCTGCAGTACAGCTTTGCCCGGGCATTCACTAAAATGATTATACTTCAAGGTATATTTTGGAAAAAAATTTGCCATCAACCATTTTGGGTAGTAATTGAACGACATAAATGTATAAACAACATCACATTGAGTGCAGAAATCAGAGGTCAATGAATATATTAACATGGCCACACACTCAATTGGGTAGAAAATGGACCATTACTCAATACTCAGGCATTTGGGCAGAAAATGTAGGTGTGAAGCTGCTGTATAGCTTTGCCCAGGCATCCACTCAAATGATTATTTAAGAGAATATTACAGTAAATTGCAAACTATATTTAAGAGAAAATATTTGCCCATGCATCCATTCAAGATATATTTTGAAAAAAAATTGCAGTAAACTTAATAGAAAATATAAAATTGCAGTAAACTTAAAAGAAAATCGCACCAAACTTAAGAGAATATTACAGTAGCTTTGCATTTAGGGTTTCTAAACAATTTTTGGGAAAAGAGGTGCATTTGCAAAAGGAGGAGCAATTACCTTGTTGGCGGAGCACCGGAGGTAGGGAGGAGGCGTGTGAATAGGCGAGGAGGAGACAGACCAGGGACAAAGAGCACCGGAAGGGATGGATTGCTGTGAATGACAATCGGAAGACGAGGGGGCAGAGGCGAGGAGGACACAGACCGTGACGGTAGAGACAAAGGTAGGTGTGAGGAAGACAGAGACCACCGGCGGCAAAGACGGCGAGAAAATTCTAACCGGGAAAAAAATCCCAAGAGACAGCCGAAGTTGAGAGCAGAGAGAATATGCTCGGGAATGACTTGCAAGTGTGGGGTGGGGGGTTGCTTGCACGTGTAGGGTGGGGGGGGGGGTCTTTTATGTTGGGGTACAAATTGGGGTAACTTTGGGGTGTAAGTAGCATTATCCTTTAATTATTTTTTAGTATTTTGGTCGCCAAAAATTTGAAACAATGAGCTAAAAGCACGTGTAAAATAATAAAATTACATTGGAGATCATTTGGATTATTTTTGAATAACTTAAGGTAGTGTTTGGCAACTAGCATTTCATTTCAATTCATGCATTTCAATTCCAAAATTTGAAATCTTGAATTTCAAATGACAAGAGGAGGTGCACAGATTTCAAATTAAGCTTTGTTATGAATGAGAAGAATTTGACTCAAATCCAAATTCAAAATTTTTAAATTTCCCAAACATGGAATTTGAGCCAAATCCGGATTTGAAATCCAAATCTATGTTCCCAAACATACCATAATAAAAGTTAATTTTTTTAAGACGGATGATTACACTTCCTATTGTCCGCTTAGAATCAAGCAAATATACCCACACACCGCGAGAAAAATCATCCACAATAGTCAAAAACATTGTAGAACCATCCAAACTCGGTGTCCGATAAAGACCCCATAAATCACAATGCACCATATAAAATTTATCCAAAGATTGATGAAAACTAATGGGAAAACTAGCATGAGTTTGTTTAGCACGTAAACAGACATCACAATGATTATGACTATTTTTTTTGAACTCCAAGAACTAAGAACAAAACATGCGAAGAAAGATGTCCTATACGATTGTGCCAAAGATCAAAAGAATTCTCCTTCGTAGCACTACATGCCATGCTTCTTTCCTCCTTCTTCTAGTAGTACAATCCTCCTTCATGTCTACTCACATCAATCGTTGTCCTCAAACTCAGGTCCTGTAATATATATGCACACATCATTGGTGAACTTTGCCTCACAGTTCAAATCCCTTGTCAGCTGTGAGATCGAGATTAAATAGCAACTCAAAGTTGGAACAAACAACATATTCTCTAGTGTCATAGTCCTTGTCAAATAAACATTTCCAGATTGAAAAACTCGTTTTCCATCGGGTAACCCAATTTTGCATGGAGTTATACCCACCACATTTTATAATAACGAAAGATCATCTGTCATATGATTTGATGCACCCGTATCAATAATCCAACGAGGTGACACAGGAATACCTGTAAGTTTCTGATTGGTGTCTGTATGGGATAGTGCAAGGGCGTGACGAACATCGTTCCATTGCTCCAGAGTCAGATCCTCAAAATTGGGCAGCGGTGAAAAATCTCTTTTCCTCTCGTTCCTCATTCTTCTTGTCGGGAATAATCTTCATGGATGTTTTTTCAAACATACCGGATGGCACATGTCAATACTGGATCGAACGGCAGCAGCGACTGAGAAAACTGCCGACAGGACGGTCGATGCACTCGACCGTTCTTCACCAATGGTCGACCATCCGGGCACTCGACAGCAGCAGTGGGCGACGAAAGTGAGCAACGATCGATGGACGCGATGCCGGGCGATCGTGAACAGTAGCCGCAGAAATTTCTAGGTTTTAGACTCTGATACCATGAAAGAATTAATTGGGAGGAAATTCTCTTGTATTTTTCCTTGTGTTTACAATTTACAATGAAGACATATATATAGAATTTCACAAGTTGAGACTCCTAATTAGTAAAAGAAAAGGAAAAAGAAAGATTCCCTGTAAAAGGAAAACTACCAAAACAATATATATATACAAATAAATCCAAATATTCTCCGAATATTCTTTTTTCTTTAACACACGAGGTTCAATTAAGTTTTCTTGATTAAGTTATTCAAAAAATTAAAATATTCCATCCGTCATCAAGTGTTGGATAAACTTTGAGCTTAATTAAACAAAAATTGTAATACGAAGTATATATTAGTATAAAATTAATTTTATTAGATTTATCTTCTTGAAAAATTTCAAAATTTTATTTCATTAAATTAATATTCAATACAAATAAAGAGTAATTGAAATTTAAAATTTGTCTAACTTGACTAAAAAAAGATGAAAATAAATGAATACAATAATATGAGAGAGGTGATAGTATCTAATTTAATTCCATTCTTTTAGATGAGTTGTTAAATCAATATTTTTGATGTCATTCATACAAAATAGACACTCTTGAATGAATTAGTGTTGAATAATCGGTCAAGTATATAAGGGCATTTTTATTTCCAAAAGATTAAACTCCGTACATAGAAACTACTCCATGATAACTTTTCCCACTGCTGCCATTATTATTAAAAGTTAAAACTAAAATTTGGTAGGGCAAATATACTTTTTCATTCAAACAAAACATAAAATTTTAAAAGAATTATTACTCCTCCGTATGGTAGAAAAGTGATTGAACACGGACATAAAGAACATGACGATGGAGCACGTCGTGAAGCAAATGATATATATATGGCCGACTAAAGAACTTGATCAAGCATTGATGATCGATCCACCTTTAAAAAAATACCCCAAACCAGTGAGAATGATATTATGCAAAATACAAATTTCAATGTCAACTATATATATATATATATATATATATATATACNGATATATATATATATATATATATATATATATATATATATATATATATATATATATATATATATATATATATATATATATATACCAGTTCGTTTGAGGTACCTACAGTGTTCCGTTTGTAAAAACGACGGTTCCTACCCCCTAATCATCCCCTAAACCCCCCACTCCAGCCCCACCCTTGCCCCCCACCCCAGCCCCCCTACCGCCCCTGGCAGTACACTGTCTGGCAGTGTACTTCCAGGGTAGGGAGGGAGACAAGGGTGTGGCTGGGGTGGGGGGTTTAGGGGGAAGGTTAGGGGTAGGAATCGTCGTTTTTACAAACAGAGCACCGTAGATACCCCTAACGAATTGGTGTAAGCAAATGACACGAGTAGCACTGGTGTCATTTTAGACTTACCGTGTGTGTGTATATATACTCCCTCCGTTCAATATTAAAGTTCCCACTTTCCTTTTCAGGACGTCCACAATTAATGTTTCCATTTCCAATTTTAGAAACTTTTCTTTGTTAAAATGACTAAAGTACCCTCCATTCCTTATTACACCTTATCTTTTTCTCTTTTCCTTTCCTTCCGCAGCCACGCACACTTCCCCAATTTCTCTTTGGGAGATGCTAGGGGTACACCAAAAGGTGTACTCCATTTGTACACCACCACCTCCATAACCACTCATTTATTTTTTATTTGTATTTACTTAATTATTATTAAATTTCTTGCCTATTTAAGTGGTAATGGAGAGGTGGGGGACAAATGGGGTACACTTTTGGTGTACCCTTATCATTTTCCTTTCTCTTTTCTTCTCTTCTTCTCCATTTCTTTTTCTTCTCTCCAGAACCTCTCCTTCTTTCCCTTCTTTTTCTTCTCTCCATAGCCATCCGATTCTTCCTTCTTCCTTCTTCTTCTTCTTCTCTATTTCTTATTGTTCTTTTATACTTTTCTTTTTCTTCCTCTTTATTTTCTTCTCCCCCCCATTCGATATGTTCAACTAACCAATTTTTCCTTTCTTTTTTCTTCTTCTCTTCATCTTCTATCTTTTCTTCCCCCCCTTTAGATTTGATCATCAGATCATTCAAATCTCCGTCAGATCTGAGAAATTCGCTTTAGATCTGAGTTCTTCATACCTTTGATCGTCTACTTGGGTGCGTGAATAGCTCGAATAGGGCCTTAAAGGTTGACTGCGAGAATTCTGAAATGTTAAGGTTCAGGGAAATTTCTCTCCCTGGAAGTATGATCGATTTGGTCGCCATTTGCTCCGGTGGGTGGTTCTGGTCTTCTGGAATGATGAGGGAGGGGGAGTGGTTGGGGGCAGTATGGGAGGGTAAGTGGGCTAAGGTGGAGGGTATTTTGGGAAAGTCAAAGCAAATTTTAAGTTTTATTAAACTCCGTGCCAAGTCAAAGTGGGAACTTTAATCTTGGACGGAGGGAGTATATGAGTAATTTACCTAAATAGAACTAAAACATAATGAATTTCTCGATATAGGACCATATGTTTTTATTTCCTAATGTAGGACCATATGTCATTATCTATTAGTTATTATTCAATTAAATGTACAGTTTCACTTGGTCATTATTCTTCTCACTAGACATTATTAAGTCTTATTTAAGAAATAAAAAAATTTAGTCTTACATTAGAAAATGACTAGGAAAATGACTAGGGGAGTATATATTGGGAGAGAGTTAGCCCAGTATATATTCGGAGTATATAACATACCATTGGGGTGAAGAAATTGGCCGGTGATGTAAGAAGAGCAATCGTTACTAGCTAGGAAGACATAGGAGGGGGCAACTTCAAAAGGCTCCCCTGCTCTCTCCATGGGAGCCTCCTCGTTGAACGCCCCGACCTTCTCGACCGGAAGGGAGACCACTTGGAGAGGAGTCCAAATGGGGCCGGGGGCAACGCCATTGACTCTAATCCCCCGTTTCATGAGTTGCAGGGCAAGGCTTCTGGTGAAGGTGACAATGGCACCTTTGGTGGAGCTATAGTCCACCAGTGTGGCTTTACCTTGGTATGCCAAAACTGATGATGTGTTGATGATGCAACTCCCCTTTTCCATGTGTCGCATTGAGTACCTAATAATAAGTTGTTTAATACATGCATCAATGATAGATGTTATTTTTACCAAAGTACCCCGGAGTATATATATAAATTAAGATAATAAAATAATTTAACTGGATGAGGATATATATATATAGCTAGTGAATTGAATGATTTACCTTGACATGAAGAAATAAGGAAAGATGTTGGTTTCAAATGTTCTCCTAAGCCTTTCCTCAGTGATTTCCTCAATGCTCTCCGCATAATACTGCACTGCTGCATTATTCACAAGGATGTCAATGCGCTTGAAACGGCTGACCACCACGTCCACCACCGCCTTACAAGCGGCTTCGCTACGGAGATCGGCCGGCACCGCAATGGGCTCTCCGGCGTCAGGTGCGGCCTTTGCGTCTTTGATCAACCTCAGGGCATCCTCCGCGTCCTGATCCTCCTCACCTTTAACATATGTGAATGCCACCGTTGCCCCTTCTAAGGAGAAGTAATAGCACACTGCCCTTCCTATTCCCGAATCACCCCCGGTCACAAGAGCCACCTTTCCCTATCCAGCATTTTAGTATTCGTTGGTCTTTCAGATTTGGTCGTCTGCTTTTTCATACTCGATTTCTTTGTCCTAAAATTAACTTTCCAGTTTGACTTTAGTGGTCAAACTATTGAACTTTGACTTGATATTATGAAAAAAATACATTAGACTCTCATATAAATTCAACATCGATGTTATGGTGGATTATTTTCAGGACTTATAGGGGAAGACAAAGAAAAATGAAGACATTAATATGGATGTTATTACTGAAGGCAAAGTATTGACAGTTGAGCAACAGATTAAGCTTATGGCCCCCATCCTTCCTGAGGAAATAAAGAAGCACATGTTTGCTATACCAAATAGTAAGAGTCCAGGCCCAGATGGTTTCTTCAGTGGGTTCTTCAAACATCAATGGAAAACTGTGGGAATGACTGTTACAAAGGCAGTGCTTGAGTTCTTTCAGGATGGTGTCACCCTACAACAGGTAAATGCTACCAATATATGTTTAATCCCCAAGGTTACCAACCCTGAAAGCCCTAGGGATTTTAGACCCATTTCATGCTGTAATGTGGTCTATAACGTAATCTCTAAAATTATATCCAGCAGGATTAAGGATGTATTGCCAAGTTTGATAAACCCTAATTAGAGTGCATTTATTGCGGGGAGGGAGCTGGTGCATAATGTGTTATTATGCCAAGAGATGGCTAGGGGTTACAATAGGAAGGGTATTAGCCCTAGATGCCTAATGAAACTAGACTTAAAGAAAGCATATGACTTTGTTAGTTGGAAAGGTTTGTTCCAAATTATGGAAGGTTTGAAATTCCCTAAAAAATTCATAGCCTGGATTCACTTCTGTGTTACTTCAGTGGCTTTTTCTGTACAACTGGATGTGGAGTGTTTTGGGTTTTTTAAAGGGGAAAATGGAATAAGACAAGGTGATCCAGTTTCTCCATTGCTTTTCACTCTAGTAATGGAATACTTGACAAGGACACTCTTATTCCAGGTGCAAGTCTCTTAACATAATCAACATAGTGTTTGCTGATGACCTTATAGTGGCTTGTAGTGCTGAAAAAGAATCTATAGACTGCATCCTTAAATGCCTTGAACATTTCAGAAACACAATAGGTCTTCAAGTTAACTATGACAAATCTCATATGTAGGGGTGATTTCCTTTTGGTGTAGAATCTTCTTATTGCCCTATAAGGTTATGCAAAAGGTCATGGCTTTATGTAGGAACTTTCTCTGGAGCTCCTCCCCAGAATATAAGAGATTCCCCCTAATCAAGTGGGAGGAAGTCTGTAGATCCAAATATGAAGGAGGATTAGGCTTGAAGAATTTGCAGGTTTGGAATAAGGCATGCATTATGAAATTAATATGGGACATTGCATCTAAGAAAGATATACTATGGGTTAAATGGATACAGAATAGAGACCTGAAGAATAAATCCATATGGACATTTGAAAGTAAACATGATGATTGCTATTATTGGAAGAAGATGATGTTGATCAGGAAGGACTTTGCTGGGATGTCAATAACAAGTGCTTACAGAGTAAAAAAAGGTTACAAATAGCTGGCTGGAAACCACCCAAGAGTGGAATGGGCTGAGTTGGTATAGAATAAAACTTCTATTCCTGAACATCAATTTATTGCTTGGTTGATATGGAGAGGTAGATTATTGACAAAGGACAGATTGAGTGCTTTCTTACCAATTGATCATACCTGCATAATGTGCGCCAAAGAAAGGGAGACAGTGGATCACCTCTTTTGTAGTTGCCCCTTAGCAGTAGACATTTTCCTTAATATCTCTCGGATTATTCAGTTTGACCGTATCTCTTGTTCTATTACTGAATTGGGACAGAGAACAAAGGAGGGGAAGAATAGAAAAAGATAGGAGTTTCATTGCTGCATGCATTGCCATATGCTGCTACTACATTTGGAAGGCTAGGAACTCAAAGCAGCATAACAAGGAGATGACCAAGGAGAGCATTTTGAAGGTTGTTATAGAACAGATTAACTTCATATCTCTTAATAAGTAGCGAATGTGTTCATAGGGATGGATGTAGTGGGCAAGTAGTTACTTTTTGTTTGTTTTGTACTGGATGGATATATTTGGGTGGTAATATATTTTTGTGCTTTGTTCAAAAAAAAAATCAACATCGATCAATAGAGTAATTTTGAAACAAAGTTTGAAAATATTTTTATTATAATATGTGTGTGTGTGTGTGTGTGTGTATATATATATACGGTAAGTCTAAAATGACACCAGTGCAACTGGTGTCATTTGCTTACACCAATTCGTTTGAGGTACCTACAGTTCTCCGTTTGTAAAAACGACGGTTCCTACCCCCCTAACCCCCCCCCTAAACCTCCCATCCCAGCCCCCCTCCCTACCCTGGCAGTACACTACTGCTAGGGTAGGGAGGGGGGGGCAAGGGCGGGAGGTTTTCGAAAAGTTTTATAGGACGTAGGAAGTATATACGAATAAAGATATTAATGGTCAAAGTGTTGCATTGGAGATCGTAAAAAATCAAATGGAAATTTAATTTTAAGACGAGGGAGCAACAACTAAGGCCTTGTTTGAGAAAAACGTTTTCAATTAGCGTTAGCGTTTTAATTTGAATAAAATATTAACGGTGTAGATTAATTAAGAAAATGCTAACGCTAAAGGCTACCGCTGGATAGGCTTTTCAAAACGCTAACGTTCATAATTACACTAATTATAAAAAAGAAGGAAAAACATACAAGAAGCTTGTTAGAAGGGGTGTAATTGGGATTGACGGAAATGGGAAGAGGATTCATCTGGTACTCTTTCCCCGGCTGAGTTTCTTGGTGCTGTGCCGGGTATCTTCTTTTCACTACACCCATAAGATCTTCTTCTTCTTCCCCCATTTTTTCCCTAATTTTTTATATATATTTTTGCACTCTATGTACTAATTAATAATAATAATTCTTTAAAATGGCATATATGCAATAATACATAATAATAATACATATTATTTATGATAATAAGATCATCATCATAGATACTTATATAGTGTGATCCGATTCTTACGAGTATTTTTTCATGGGAATTGAAGAGAGTTAGCGTCATGGCCGGCCAGCCTTAGTTATCGCCTACTAATCCAGCAGTACGTGTGTGATTGAAATTAATTAACACATGTGGGCTGAAAATATTTAATTTAAATAGATTAACTTAATGATTTTCTTATTAAGAGAAGAGCAAATTTTATTTTGAAGAAACAAGATGACAATTTGGATAATTTATTTTTGGAGGAAAAGAGTATATTATTTTGTGTTCTACTTCCTTTGTTAGCTAATTCATACTCCTCTGTCCTAAAATAATATTCCCTGGCCTGTTTGATTTATGAGATTTGACTGAAATTGTTTTTAATTAAATTTATTTGATTATATATGTGAAATTTAAAAATAAAAAATATATATTTTAAAACTACATCAAGAGTTCTACAAAACAAGAAGTGACATGACTATATATACATACATACATACATACATATATATATATATATATATATATATATATATATATATGAGATATAGCACAAAAAAGTATCACATATTTTGTTTTTCTCAAGATAGATAAAATAAATAACTCGATTCAAATATTATTAAAAAAATTGGAATAGGATCGGAACACCTAAAAACCTGGATTGTTCTGACCCGTGCCCACCTCAATTTGTGATTCATAGTTTTTATGAAGCTTATAGCTTTTCCTTTTGACAAATGTTGTAACATTTTCTTTAATGTTGCCTTATTGTTTTTGGCTTCGAAGATTTCCTAAATAAATAGTTAATTTTTTTCATTAATTTCCAAGTCAAATCAGGTTGCCTCCCCATTGTGTATTTTATACTTTTGTATGTAACTTTGAATAATGACAAAGCAAGATAACGCGAACTCGTTTCATTTTGTCCCAATTCCAAATATGTAGTATTAAGTAACAAAGGGTGATAAACTTATGGTCATAATTGTTCCGAATCGTGTGAAAAAAAACAAAACAAAATGCGAGAATGGTATAAAACCCGGAATATTACATATAACTTATAAATATTTATCAAAATATTATTTTACGTAATTAGATTATTATATAATTTTATGTATAAGGTCAATTATAATCGACGGAAGTTACTCCAAACAACGAATAAAGAAAATGAAGAACAAGAATATTTAAGTAATTTTATTGTTTTACCTACCTCACATTACCTAATAAATATCCAAACACAAATTTTCAATTTATTAACATACTTTACCCACTTTCCATTACCTACCTCTTATCCAAACATAGTAAGACCATTGGCTATACCCGGCTACCCGCAATAATTTTCTGGTGCAACAACGTTTACTTTCAAAGTTATGCCGGCCTTTGGCACTTGCCAGATGGAGCCTCCTCTGAGTTGTGCATTTATATTTTTGCTTTGACAGGCCCTACATTGTTCACTGTCATCCTCACAGTCACTCTGAATCTCTGAGGCTTGGAATGGTTAATAGGAGGGAGTTTGTCATCAATAATTGACGAAAGCCTCTTCTTCTCCGTTTGGATCCGTATAAATAAGAAAAAAAGGAAGCATCCGTAAGCTTCATCTGTCTCAGCTTCAGAATGTCCACCGCCGCCGGCTCTCTCGTCTCTCCCCTCTTCCGACACCACAGCGGTAAGTTCTTCTTTCCTCGTTTGAATTAATTTGGACTCCTGATATTTTTATAGCAGAATGTGTGGATTTGATTCGATACACTCGGAAAGGGATACCGTTAGGGTCTAGTTTGGGCTGACTGTGAATTACATTACCTAGAATTGTAAAACATTGGGATTTGGGAATGAAATCGTGTTTGGAATGGCATGGATTGGCTTAATTCTCAAGAATCAACCCATGGTAGTCAAGACCTGAAAGTGGTGAGAGTGAGAGCTCAGTTCTTAGTCTGTAGGGCAAAGATGAACAGCAGCGAGAGTGGAGAGGGGGGGGGGGGTAGAAAAATTGAAGCAATTAGTATATTCTTAAAATTCTAACTCAAATGGAGATAGGAACTAGAAAGAGATTCAAAGAGAAAATTAGAGATTTAGATTTTTTAGACATGATATTCAAAAGCCCAAAATTCAATTTTATGTGTTACTCCCTCCGTCCTAAAACTTTCTTCCCGTTGCGCAAAACGAAGAAAAATCCCAAGTTTTTTCAATCTATTTTATTTAAATATTGGTAAAGAAATAAAAAATAAAACATACATATTTAAAAACTACATCAAAATTTCAACAAAACAAGTGGTGACAAGAATATTTTATTTTATCATATAGGCCATGAAAAAACACAAATAAATATAAATTCCCGTGAAGTTGGAATAGTGCTCTGGGAAGAAAGTTTTAGGACGAAGGGAGTAGTAATATTTTAAATGAAGATTTTTTAGGAATAATTTTATTTTAATTAATTTTATATTAATTATTTTTATATTCCCTCCTTCCCAAGTTAAAGTTACAGGTTTAGCTTTCACAGAGATGAAAAAAGTGAAATTATTTGATGAAGATCTATGCAGAAGAGAGAGAATTAATATGGATCACTCATTCTACTCCTTAAAGGAAATGAGAAGTTTATTTTGGGACAACCTAAAATAAGAAAATAAGAAGTTTATTTTGGCACTGAAAGAATATTATTTTAAGGGCCCCGTATCCTCCTATCACACATGTCCCTGTATGTTTTAGGACCAGACCTAATCTTTTCTTGAATCTATTTGTTTTTAAAAACTAATTTTGTGCTTTTGTTTTTGAAAAAACTGATCTGGGGCTCTATAATAAGTTTTGTTAATATTTTCGTGACAGTTGAAACGTTTGGTCATCAACTTTGAAACCTTCACCTGATTATATACACATTTACATATAAAATGATTTTAGAAAGAAGATACTTATAATTAACTCAAGATTCAAAAGAACATACAAACTGTCCCATCATTTCTTTTTGGTGAATGTTGGAGTGCAGGTTACTTTAGTGGTGTTTTTAAAAAGAAATGAAACCTTGTATTCATGCAGTCTATAATATGTTTCCCTAATATTCTTTGTTTGCTGAAATTTTGCACTTATATTTTGTGTTGTACCTTTTTAATTATTTTTGTGTTTATATCCTGTTTTGTTTCAACTATATTTATGAGTAATCATGTCTTACCTAATTATCATAGATTCATATCGAATACCACAAGTTTCAAAATGGAAAACATGGAATGGAAGAGCACAGTACTTGGAAATGCCTATGCACTTCCAAAGACGTTTATCTACCGAACAACATCACAGAAGCAGTGCAGGGAGTATTAACAGCTTTCGTTCGAGATTGAAAGCAAGGTTTACAGTGAACGCGTCTTCAGACCATCCACTTGAATTCGAGTCATCAAACAACCCTTTGAAGTCAATTCAAGGGACTGTAGATGCCTTCTACCGATTTTCACGTCCTCATACAGTCATAGGAACAGTTATGTTCATAACCTTTGAGTAGTTAAGAGACTCCTTGACATGTACTTCCTACGTTCCAAAATAATCGCAAGAGCCTGCTTTTCACGATTGCCAATGCACAACAAATTCTTAATTATCTTCAACTATGTTTTATTAGAAACTATAAAAAAATAAGTATGAAAGTTTTTATCGAAACTCAAAACAAATCTAAGAAGATTTGAGATGATTATAATATTACTTACGTATGGATCTTAAAAATGGTCGAATGAGAGTGTGAATAGCGTAACATTTTGACCGTTGCAATTATTTTAGAATGGAGGAAGTATTTTTTTAAAGATCGTTCATACTCACAATCATACATTTCTATGTATGAGAATGCTAATCTTTTTCAGTGTCTATTATTACTCTCTTAGCTGATTCCAGCATAAAATGACAATAAATGGTACAATAAGTTGAAATTCTGTTAAAAACAATTCTTATACAAATAGACACCATATCTTTATTATAACAACAACAACATTACCCTAGTGCCTCAACGGCTCCCGCCTGTTGAGGGTAGGGGGGGGGTTAGATGTACGCGACCCCTATGTTTAAATCATAGAGTAGCTGTTTCTAGATGACCCATTAAGAGCGTCGAAAGCTGCATTGACCAACTGCTACTTTACAATTGCAAGAAGCGTAGACAGTTTAGAGAGCCAATTTGCTTTATTCCATCATACTCCATATCTTTATTATAAATGAATAAATAATACACACACAATTTGATCTATTACTTCTATATATACGTACATGTGTGTGCACATGCATGTGTGTATCTATAGATATGTTTGTGCATGTGGGTTGTATATGTGTATTTGATATATGAAAAATTTGGAAAATATACAATAATTGAAATGAGTTTTGGAGCGGTATGCCCTCAACTGTGTGATGCACGCTTCACCATAATTGATTCTTAAAGCTTAAAAAAGTCATCTTCAAATGTTTAGCCAAACTCCCGAAAGCAGATTCTGATTGTTGCTTTTTGGAGGACTAGAATTAGACTGCTATACTTCCTAAGCAGATACGTGTATCATTTGCAAGACAACTGGTATATAATTTATTTGAAATTATAATGTCACTAGGAAATGTAATTGTTCATATCAACATATTTGCTGCCAAGATTAGATCAATACCAAATATCCATCTTAAGGGTACAATGTAACTTTTATATTGTGATGACTTGTCCACTTTCCAACGAAACATGCCTTGATATCTGGACAGTATTATTCTCAATAATATCCAGTGAAGGTTTCAAAGGCCTAAACTCATGATGACATCATTAGTTTTGGACGATACACCCAGAGTCTTGCTTGATTAGTTGATTTACATTGACCAAGTAATGACTTATACCTTCCTTTTCTGTAAGCAGGCACTGAGCATAGTTTCAGTTTCTCTTCTTGCAGTTGAGAAGCTCTCGGATATTTCACCATTGTTTTTCACAGGGGTGCTTGAGGTCAGTTTCAAGTGTTTGTTGAGTCGGCAGAGTGCGTACGTGGTTTTACAATTTGTGCATTGGAATATTTTTATGCAGGCCATTGTTCCTGCTCTCCTTATGAATATATACATAGTCGGTTTGAATCAGTTATCTGATATTGAAATAGACAAGGTATGACCATTATGAACTCAATTACATAACACTCGTGTACAGACTCATAATGATTTGTATTTGAATTTTTGTTTGTCTTGTTTGTTTTTTAAAAGCTTTATGCCACTAAATGACTTTATAGTAGATGAATAGAAGGAAGTTGGTAAGACCCTGACATTGTCCACTTGCTGTACCTTGTGTGTTTCTTGTGTGAAAAATGGGAGGTAGAATATTTTTTCTGCCTTATGGCATATAATAAGAGAAAAACATCACATTGTCAAAGCCTTGACAGATTAATTCGCCATGGCTTTAGGGATGCTATGAATTTTATTGCAGAATGACTGTGCAAATTAAGGTACAATCCTTATAACTAGTACTATTCTAAACACAAATGAAGATAGAAAGCCTGCACTATGGAGTCATGCCAGGCTTTGCTTGTGCTGTTACGGAACTGGCACACCCAAATAATCACTCCCCGCCTTGATCAGAAAATCGTCCCCTCCTCAAAGTTGCAAATAGCCTCCATAAAATCTGGAGTATCATGTTCTAACCTTATAGCCTCCAAATGGTCTACTAGATGCACTGTGCATGGCTTTATGTGACGAAAGGGAGGGATAATGTTTCTTTCACTATATGGCGAAGAATAAGAGAGACTTGATCTTGTCAAGGTCTTAACAAGTAATTGACAAAGGGATTCTATGATTTTATTCCATTACTGAATGTAAATTGAGTACTAATATATGAGAAAAATGTAGTGCCAATCTAACTATAACTCTACTTTGACCCCAAACTCACTATATTGATGCTGATGCCAAATTCTAACGAGTAATAACTAATACTCCCTCGGTTCGGATTTAGTTGTCTACTTTCTCGTTTTCGTTTATCTGGAATTAGTGGTCCACTTTTCATATTCAATTAAGAAATTATAATGAATTGTCTAAAATATCCTAGACATTAGTCATGAGCACCGTTGACATGAATGAATATCAAATCTCTTTGAATGACTTATTTGACATTTTAAACTTAATTTTAAAAATTAGATTTTTAAGAGTGCACAACTGATTCCAGATGGAGGGAGCACTTCGTACTAATCTAAACACGAATAAGGATAGATGTCTAATCGCTGAAGAATCTTGCTAGGCATTCCTGCAATTTTAGGGAACTACCACTGTGATGGATTTCTATGTTTGTAAAGCTCAAATGATTTGAGTATATATTAGAAATGCATTATAGTGGTGTAATTGGTGTTTGAGCTGTTTAGTGAAACATAACTTTTGATCATGAGGTATCAATAATCATTGACATTGGAGACATTGAACTCCCTAAGAAATTTAAGAAAGTGGGACTCTAGCAGCCATCCTATAGGTTGTGTAGACAGATGTTTTTTTGGTACTCTCCAACAACTCAGGTGAAAGATCCCGAACCACAAACATCCGCTTGAATGCTAGCTTGGACCTTGGTTGGGTGCCTTTAATATGTACTAATAGTTCTTTGAATACTTTTGCAGTATCATGTATTTTTACGGTGGGACTTTGTCAAATTGAATCGTACTTTTACTAGTCTTTTAGTCATTGAGTTTTTCTTTGAAATGCATTTCAAGTCTGAGGCTCTTTTTTCAGGTAAACAAACCATATCTTCCATTGGCATCAGGCGAATATTCCGTGAAAACTGGCGTACTGATAATTTCTTCTTTTGCTGTTATGGTAATAAGATATCAATGCAGATCATTTTTTTTATATTATAAAAGTTTTTTGCTTATGTAACTATGTTACATAGCAGGTCCCAAGCCCAGATAAAAGAGAAAGGTTGTGTTAGGTCTCGGCAACCAACATAAAACTTTGTCGAATCTTCATGACATGGATCAAACATGATATTGCGCTAAACCTAGGTTGTTAGCCAGAAGCAACATGCTGTATGGCTAGAGTACTGTGTCAAATGAGCTCGGGCCGCTACATCGGTGCCCGAGTGTAGTGCAAAATAAGCAATGGTTCCCACGTTTTGGTGAACGTCCATAAGCAAATAAGTTAGTTCACAAAGCCAAAGGTAAAGATCAAGATAAGTTGTAGTTTGGGACATGGAACATAAGCACACCGACATGCAAAGGCAAGGCTATGGAGTTGGTGGATACTATGATACAGAGAAGGATTAATATTATGGGCTTGCAGCAAAAAAAGTGGGTGTGAGCAAAGGCTAATGAGTTAGACACTTCAAGCTTCAAGCTACAGTATATGTGAAGAACAAAAATGGAGTTGGTATTATTGTAAATAAACAATGGGAGAAGGATGTGGTTGATCTTCAGAGGATGGGAGATCAGATCATTGCATTAAAACGTACTTTCCTTTTTGGCTCGTCCAAAAATTTTATTCCCGTTTCCTGTTTTGATAAAAAAAAAACTTTAAATGCCTCACTTTTTATCTGCACTACTTACTTTATTCATCACATCACACATGGAAAGTCTTTACACTTTTTAACTTTTTTCAATCTCCGTGCCAAGTTAGACCGGGGAAGAAATTTTTGGACGAAGTGAGGAAATTTGATAAAATTTTTTGTACTAATTGCAAAAGAGTGAATTCTTAAAATGATCCTTTCTAAGGTGTTTTCCTAAACTAGTCCTCAATAAGTAATAACTACCTAAATTAGATTTATTCCGTAAATTGTCCTTTGCCTAAAATGTCTATTAAATTTCAGTCATATAAAATGTATTTTGGTATTTTCTATCATATAGACTTAAATTATGTTCTCGAAATGCTCTTTTATAATTAAGTATTCTTTCAAACAAATAATTTTTAAGTAAATGTTTTCTCGAAATGGAGTCCGTGAGCCTACTCGAGGTGGGTCCATTCCTCTAGCAGTCACCCACTTAATTCGAAAGGACTATTTTGAGGACTTATTCATAATTTTGATGATGGAAAATATCAAAATATCCTCCATTTATCTGTCATTTAATATCAGAAGATTATTTAAGGAATACATTTCAATTACGAAGGATCACGTTGGTAACTATTGCTTATTGAGGACTAATTTGGAGAAATACCTTATTAGAAAGAACCATTTTGAGAATTCACTCAATTGCAAAATTCTTCCCAGAGAGAGTTTGACCACCCAACATAGAGTGTTTGTTATGGACTTTTGTATCCAACGAAAGGTCAGGAAAAGACGCCGAGAGAGGAACCCAATGACTAATTGGTGGCAGTTGAAAGGTTATAAGAGGAAGCAAATGGGATGGACATGGAAGTGCGGAAGAGTTGTGTGATATGGCAGATACTATTTGAAAGGTGGCAAAAGAAATCCTTGGAGAAACTAAAGGCACTAATACAAAAAACAAAGAATTGTGGTGGTGGGACACTAGTGTGCGAGAGAAGGTTAAAGGTAAAGTGGGAACCTCTCAAGGATTGGTCTTTATGCCATAATGCAAAAAGTTGGGAAAGGTATAAACATTTAAGACTGAGAGAGAAGTGGTTGTAAGTGAAGCAAAAATGAGAGTACATGAAGGTTTTTACCAGTCGTTGGGTACAAAAGAAAGGGAAAGATGTATTTACAAGATTACAAAGGGTAGAATAAGACGGATGCATGATTTGGACCAAGTTAAGTGCATTAAAGATAAGAATGATGAGGTTTTGCTCTCTGATGAAAACATAAACGAGTGGTGGAAGAGCTACTTCAGTGATCTATATAATGAGGGGCATGCAAATCTCTCATGCTCTCATCTGCTACACACGAGGGTGGAGGACCGAAACATCAATTATTGGAGAACTCAAGAAATTGAAGTTAAAAAAGGCCCTAAAGTGGATGAAGAATAACAGAGCAGTGACCCAGACGACATCTCGATGAAGTTTGGAAAGGTTTATGAAGAAAATGCATTTGGTGGCTAACTAAGCTTTTGAATGAGATTCTAAGATCTAACAAGATGCCTAACAAATGGAGGAAAAGCATTTTGGTCCCTATTTACAAAAATAAGCGGGATATTCAGAATTGCGAAAATTTCAGAGGGATCAAGCCTACGAGTCTTACGATGAAGGAGTGGGAAAGAGTGGTTGAACGGAGGCTGAGACAAGAGACTTCGGTGACAGAGAACCAATTTGGTTTTATGCCAAGAAGATAAAAATCAGAGGCTATATACTTACCGAAGTAAGAAAAAGGATTTGCACATGGCTTTTGTTGATTTGGAAAAGGCATGATAGGTACCAAGAGAAGTATTGTGTAAGCTTTTAGAGAAAAAAGAGCAAGCACATATTCGTGAGATTAAGAACATGAAGGATGGTGCTACAACAAACGTGGGATGTGAAAGTGGGGTAACAAGAGAATTTCCCATCGGTGTATGATTACACCATGGGTCATCATTAAGCCTATCTCTTTTACACTAGTATTGGACGTTCTTACGAAGAACCCAGTCTCATGGTACATGCTTTTTGCTGATGACATCATCTTTATAGGTGAATGGCGAGAGGATTTGAATGGGAAGTTGGATTCGTGGAGGCAAGCTTTGGAGTTGCATGGCTTGTGTATAAGTTGCACTAAAACAGGGTATATGGAGTGCAAGTTCGGCAAAGGAAGGAGAAATAGTAACATCGAGGTGAAACTCAGAGAAAATACTATACCATAAGAGATTGAAATATCTTGGGTGTATCATTCAAGACAATGGAGAAATGGAAAAAGATGTAATCCAGAGGATTCAAGCTAATTGGTCAAAAATGGCGAAGTACTTCGGGCTTTATATGTGACAAGAAAAGTACCTTTAGAAGAAAATTTTACCGTACTGCAACTAGACCAGTTATATTGTGTGAAATAGAGTGTTGTGAAGCAAAAGGTGAATAGGAACACAAGGTTAGTGTGGCGGAAATGAAGATGCTTTGTTGGATGAGTGGTCATATGCGTATGGATAGAATAAGGAATGAAGATATGAGAGCTAAAGTTGGAGTGACACTTATTGTAGAAAAGATGGTGGAAACTCGTCTAATATCGGGTGAAAAGAGTTGATCAAATGGTGAATAGACATGTGGCTAGAGGAAGCGGTAGACCTAAGAAGACTTGGCAAGAAGTTGTCAATGGTGACCTTTGCGTGAATGATCTCACACAGCAGATATGATATCACATATGATACATGATAGTGCGCAATAGCGTTGTTTGATCCATGTAGCCGACCCCACCTAGTGGGATAAAGTTTGTTGTTGTATACAAATTTTCACCATGCTTGTAGTTCATTTTAATGGCTAAGTTTGATTATAATATTGCTAAGTTCAAACTAAGATTTATAACCAACAACTTGCATTTTAAATATCCGTATTAAATGTCACATTACCAAATGTAAGTTCCTTAAGAGAGTAATACAACAACAACAAGGCCTTATCCCACTAGGTGGGGTTGGTTACATCAAAGTCTTATCCCAACAAAGCCTTAAGAGAATACTATTCAGAATTAATCTATTGCTATTACAGAGCTTTTGGCTTGCAAGTGTTGTTCGTTCGTGGCCATTATTTTGGGCTCTTCTTATCAGTTTTGGACTTGGAACTGCCTATTCAATCAATGTGAGTTCAACTACATTTTCATATCTGTTACACATACACTCATATGCTTATATGTATGTATATGACCTTACATTGTTTTGTATGTCCTCATCTAGTATGACTTGATAATGCCTTGTTTAATATAACTTTGTAACACATCAAAAGAGGATGATATTCTTTTTCTCCTTTTATATTTTTGGAAAGATCATTGTTGAGCTTCTACCCTCCACGCTAGTCTGTTTTCTACCATTTTTTAGTATTGTAGAAGCTGTTTTTTTGTTGGACAAAACCTTCAATATCAGTAATGGTTGTTCCAACAACATCCATCCATAAATCAACACAGAATCGGAAACCGCAACAATTGATTGCTGATGTTTAACCAAACATGAACTCTTAATAAGAGTCTTAGAGTCAAAAGGTAAACCACACGAACAATTGAAAGTAAAAAAATCCCACACCTGAAGGAGGAAAAAACATAAAAAACATCGGAGGTAATAGTTGTGTTGGAACTGACCGACCAAGTATGTTATATGTATAGAGAGATAGACCTAATAAATTGTGTTGAAAGTAACTTCAAAATCACAACTTGAATCTTGTTTTCGTATGTACGAGTACTATTTGTAAAGTATGATACACGAAGCTTAAATTTTACAAATCTCTTTCTTTTTTCCTCTTGGCATGTAATATTGAAGACAACACCTTTACAGTTGAATCGACTTACTGGACTATACATGAAATATTATTGACCATTTAATACCGTGATCTGAATTTAACTGGTTTCTATAATAGGGCAAGCAGATGAGGGAAGCAGTGGCAACAACATTATAAATAGTTTTTTAGGGTTTATGGAGATGTTTTATGTTATTAATGTACAAGGTATAATCTTATCAAAATTTACTAATGTACAAGGTATAATCTTATCAAAATTTTCAGGCTTATTTGGTTCCTGGGGCTGTCCATGAGCCCATACCACAGTTCTCTAATATAATCATCATATTCGTTATTGTAAACCACCCAGCACTCTTGGAACGACAGTAGGTCTGTCTCTGTTGTACTGAACCAGAGACTCAAGACCCTCAAAATAATGTGCAAAAGCCAAAGGAGTATGACATGATATCCCTCGGATTTTTCACACCATCTTCCTCTTAGGGCCTCTTATTACATAAGATTCTCAGTAAGTTAGAAATGAAACCTCATCAACTATCTCGATGTTGGTTACCCCAAGCTCAATAGACATGAAAGATCCCCACATTACTTCCTCCAATAGAAGGGAAGATCAGCCACAGGCCCACATCATGTATCTCTACAGTCTCATGCTAGTATTTAAAGATGTTCTTGCATGTGCTCTGACCTTTAAAAGTTTGCACCCCATATATAATACATTGCACGATCTAGAGAAATTTTTACAAGCAATGAAAACTTAGCCCTTAGGGATCATGTGAGCTTAACTTATGCAAGAATTTATTGTAGTATATATCTCTGTCTTGCCGAATCTCTTCATCAACACAGAAAATTTGATATGGTTAACTTTCCATTTCTGATTGTGCCTTCTCTTCCTGAACACAAAATGGGGATCACATTGCTACAGTTTCCTCACCCTGATTTGCTGATCTAGAGTCATTGAGGTAGTGTGAAACCCTTCAGGTTGCGACTCACCAATCTGCCCCCTTAAATAAATGCTCCATCTGTCTCTAAATAAGCTTCTTGTTTTTGTTTACAATTTGTGAGCGAAGGTACACTTTCAAATCATTTTGCCTAAATGTTGTTGTAAAACTAAAAAACACCGTAACAATTTTTATTTTGAAAACTACATCAGAAGTTCGATAAAACAAGAAGTGACTCGACTACTTTAGTTTAACAAATGATTAAAGCAAATAAGCATGGAAATAAGATATAGTTTGACCATGTGAATAGTATTTATGGATGGAAGAAGTGACTGGACACATCTGTATTTTCATTTTTGTGTGGCTATTGCTGGACAGTTTTGAGCATTTATCTTATACATTGGCTCTACGTTTGTAGCTACCACTCTTGAGGTGGAAGAGAATTGCATTAGTTGCTGCAATGTGCATTCTCGCTGTGCGGGCAGTCATTGTGCAAATGGCATTCTATTTGCATATACAGGTATGTTGCTCTGAATTACCTTTTCCTATTTATTCCTTCATATTTCTCTCTCTGAGCTTATGTAATGTTATGCAACACTCCTACACGAATATAGTAGTATTTAAAAATGTACACAACCAAAATAGAGGGGTTTGGTTTATGGAATTGACGGAATCCTAAAATAGGGAAAGTTTGATGTTTGTTTTTAGGAAATGTTAAAAACTTGTTTTCTTGTGTTTAGTTATATATCATGTTGTCCTGTGTGTTTTGATAACAACAAAATTTTAGCTTCATGTGAAGAAAGCTTTTATGAATGGCAAGGTTTTGAAAGGCGAAAACTAGCCTCGAGGCGGTGGAGCTAAATGCCTTGAGGCGTAAGCCCCGAGGCAGAACGAGGAATAAGCCTCAGTTCAATATGAAAAAAATAATACTAAAATATGTACACCGAGGTAAAACAAAAGGCATAATCCATTTTCATGTTAAATAAATGATAAAATCATAATTCGTGAATTTAACAAAAAATGATACCCTATCTTAATTTTTAAAACACAAAAAAGAAAAAGAATTATAAAGATTAAACACAGTAACATAAACACAAATGTCTCAAACCCATCTTCAAACCTTATAAATATTAAATATGGACAAAAGTTCACGCAAAAAAAAGTTACATCATTGTTTAAAGTTTGAACTGGATTTAAAAGAGGGAGAGGGATGTTGGAAAAGAAGGAACCAAAAAAATCAAAAGTTGAAAGAAGAAGATGAAAGAAATAGAAGATAAGCTATTTAATATGAAGTAATTGCCTCAGCGGTTACCACCAGAGTGAAGTTGTGCCACTGAAGTCTGAAGATGGAGAGAAGTACAGTTGAAGATGGAGATGAAAGTTGACGCTAAAAGTCTTGGAAAGAAGTGATAATTATCTACTAGGTTTATTACTACCTCTGTCCCAGAGTATTTGTCCAGTTTGACTTTTTCGAGTCAAACTGGATAAACTTTGAACTCCAATTACTCTCAATTTGTATTACATATTAGCATAATGAAATACTACCTCTGTCCCAGAGTATATATCCACTTTCATTTTTACACACCATCCAATACACTTCTTTAATCCATTTTATCTTGTAATTTGTATATTAAAAGATTATAGAAATTATATATTAATAATCTATATGTTAAGACAAATCAAACAAGATCACACATGACTATATTTAGGCTTACACATTGAGAGAATTTGATGAGTCAAAGTGCTTAGATGAACAGTTCCTAAAGTCAAAATTGGAAGAATACTCCGGGACGGAGGGAGTACAATTTTGAAAGTTCTCAATATGATAAATCCAATACAGTCATTTTTATATTAAAATACTTTACAGTTTTTATTTAATTGAAGTTCAAAGTTTGTCCAGTTTGACTCAAAAAAGTCAAACTGGACAAATACTCTGGGACAGAGGGAGTAAGTTTTTCTTAAGAAACTTTATAGTGCATTGGCCCAAAAGAGTTTTTGTAAAAGAAGCCCAATAGCTTTTTAAAAATAACCCTTATAATTGTTGAAATTCTTATTAAAAGTAAGGCTTACGCCTCGGTTACGCCTCGGTTACGCCTTACCACCTCAGATCGCCTCAACATTGGGAGGCGTACGCCTCTGGTATCCCTAGTGAGGCTTAAGCCTCAGAGGCGAAATGCAACCGCCATACCGCCTCGAGGTGGACTGCCTCGGTCGTCTTTTAAAACCATGATGAATGGTTTCAATGGTTATCCACGTTCAACTGGACGAATGCTTTTAAAGAACTCAAGATGCTTTTCCAAGACTGTAATTAGTTTTTTTAATAGGTCCTTAGTACTTTTGTATGAATATGGCATCTATTTGCTCTTCATATCCTCTTCGAAGAAGTATATTATCCTTTTTCAAAACGGTGGGGTTCTACAGCCATTGAATTTCAGTGGCTTCGATTTCAGTGGCTTCCGAAGCCACTGAACAAATTGGGGCACCTACGCTGCCCGGTTCGCAAAATTGATAGTTCCTACCCCCCTAACCCCCCCGGAAAACACCCCCATCATGTCCCGACCCCAACCCACCCCTCCAACCACGTCAATTGCGGGGTGCAAGTTAAGTTGACTTTGGAGTCAAAATTTTTGACTCCAAAGTCAACTTAACTTGCACCCCGCAATTGACGTGGTTGGAGGGGTGGGTTGGGGTCGGGACATGATGGGGGTGTTTGCCGGGGGGGGTTAGGGGGGGTAGGAACTATCAATTTTGCGAACCGGGCACCGTAGGTGCCCCAATTTGTTCAGTGGCTTCGGAAGCCACTGAAATTCAGTGGCTGTAGAACCCCACCGTTTTCCTACCTCTTCTCTTGTTAAACACATTCAAATGGTTCACTCCTTGCATTTGAATGTAGGTTTTTTTTCTTGAGGGTTTTAGTGCTTTTCAGCAATAATACTGCCACATTTGAATGTTGTTGAACATCAGAATGTTTACTTGTGTACATTCGAATGTCTTGGAAGGTCAGAGTCTGAAACTATGAAACATTCGGATGTTACCTTTGAAACATTTGAATGTTCACAGGTTCAGAATTTTCTGAAACTCGTGAACATTTGAATGTTACACTTGAAACATTTGATTGTTTGGGGTTCAGAACTGAACCAACTTTCTGAAGTTGAAGAAACATTTGAATGTTGCCTTACTCACATTCAAAATTCAAATGTTGGCTGTGACTGTTGCTGAAAACTGCTTTAAACTGCTTTTTACATTCGAATGTTTTGTGCCAACATTTGGATGTTTGTTGGTTTCAACTGCTTCCAACAGGTATTTTTCAAAATTTTGCAAGCCTTTTTATACACTCTATTCTGCATCTTTTTCCCTATCCAAGTGCACGAAATTTCTTGAGTCTTACACAACTTTTCAAGAGATTAAAGCCTTCATTATCCTCCAAACTTTCTCTCTTCAAGCATACAAATTCCTTGTGATTAACTCTCTTGCTTAAGTCATATTTGGTGAGCAATTGTTGCCATATTCTTCTAATATCTTATAATGAAAGCACATCTATTCGATTGGAGTACTTTTCCGCAGTGCAAACTCGTATTTCTTACTTTGTGTTTAGGTTTTGTATATCTTAGTGTTGGGATTACGGCATTACGCCAAGGGGCATAAATCTTAAGTCTTGTGAAATCAAGGCTTTTGTGGAAGGAAAGATTAGAGGCTTATGAAATCAAGTTATCGAGTTGTATAACTTGTATTTGGATTGTCTAATTCCATTAAGTTTGACGAAGGTTAGTGGAATCTCGAGCACATTTGTTCAGGGGCTGACATAGACATTAGGCCGAACCAGTATACATCATTGTCTTGCACTTCTCTACATTATTCATGTGCTTTTATTTGTTGGAGTGCTCTTGTGATTTTTGGCTTTGCAAAAAATTATCATAGTTGGTAAAATGCCTCTATTCACCCCCATCGAGAAGTGTGTGTAGTGCTTAACATATCATATGTTAGTATGTACATGTATATAACTATATATGCTAAAACTCATTATCAGACTGGTATTACCATATGTACTCTTAGGTCTACTTGTTTTTCTTGATAGTTGATTTTGCTTCTAGGTAAATATCTTGCATTTGCAAAAATGTTGGTAAAAGAATAGAAGTGATTGTACTAATGAGAAACAACGCGATCATTACAATAAGGGAGGACACTAAGTATAGGCCTAAGACGGGCAATGCACAAACCTGAGATATAGGAAGCACAAGTTCCTATATTCTTAGCTGGTCTTTGTTTTGAGTTGCAAGCAATTCGTAAACAAATATATCCGAATCCACGATAAAACAATTCCAACAATGACTTGTGCCTTCGTAAAAATTCATTGTGCCACCTCTATATCCAACGATTCACTTTCAGGGGAATCTGCTTTGCATCACAAAATCTGGGAGGAAACACTCTTGGAGGAGTTATTTATAGGAATAGTCGTACGTGTGACTTTTGTACACCATTGGTCAGACTAAGGACAAATTCTGGCAGCTATATGGGGGACCTGCACATTTAACCCATGTTTCCCTGATTCCCTAATCTCTGGTTGTGATCGCAGAGACGAGTATGAAAAATAGTAAATGTTTGAAGCCTACGAAGTACATCTAAGGCACGTGTCTAATGCACGATTGCCACGGTGATTATGTCGCTGATAATCCTTTCACTTTTTCCTAATATGTCAAACGCAAATATTTGCCTTAATTGTTGTTGCTGATGGTCTTCAAACCGCAACAACAAGTATATGTAAGGCTCTTCCGCTGTCATCCTTACCTTTAAAATTGGACTTATTTGTTCCTAATGATCCATCTAACCTTGTGTCTGTTAGTAAACTTATTCGCCTTCTTCACTGTTCCAAAAACTTTTGTGCTAATTCAGTGATGATAGAGAGCTGTTGTACGAGGAAGACAATTGGAGTTGGGCTGCATTTCCATTTGGGTTAGTTCATATAGATGTTTGGTATTTTGTCATTCTTATTGATTTTTCAAGATACACACTATTCTTTTTAATGTAATAAAGGTTTGAATTATTTCAAATCTTTAACACTTTTGTGCCAATGTTCAAACACAATATGGGCACTCCCTTAAAAGTTCTACGAAGTGATAATGCCGAAGAATCTTCCAAAGGACCATATAATCAGTTCATGCCTTCATGGTTACCTGTAGTATATTGTTCACAAGTCTTCTTGCATTCAGACACCTCAACAGAATGATGTAATAACAAATAAAAGTCATCATCTTGTTGATACCACTTGGACTCTTGTATTAAATTCCATACACCACCTTACTGTTGGGCTAATGCTGCCATCATAACTGCTTGTCATCATTAATTAGAAGCCCTCATCCGCTCTTAATAATGAAATTCCATGTTTCATTTTATATCTTGCTCATGAATTATGTTCCTTGGCATCCAACGTGTGTTAGGCCCCGTTCTTTTAGGTTGGAAAAATTAACTTCTAACATTTTTCCAACTCCTTCCCGGTCAAAATTAACTTCCATCTTTTTCCAACTTCTTCTAGTTTCGAACTCGTGACCTCTTGGTCAACCCGGGCTCCGATACCAGGATCAATCAAACCCGAACCAAACTTGGCTCTGATACCATGTCAAAGAACCAACTCATCCAAAAGCTCAAGCTTGTGGTTGTGGCCCATGAAAGGTTTTTATATTCTAACACTTTGAACTTCTTCTAGTTTCTTCTAACAACGACTTAAAAGAGATATTTATATGTATGAGGAATATAAAATTACATTATATATCCAAATTTATAGCATACTACCTCAAACACGGACAATGATGAATTATTTTTTATCCAAAATCTGAGTTTTCTTACATATTTATTTGGGTGATCATTTAATTGAGTGACTTTTTAACACTTATATTCATCCAACATTTTTCAACCCCTTCCAACTTTTACCAATTGCTTTGTGTTTCTTCCAACACTTTCCTGTTTCTTCCAACATCTAACCTTGAAATTCCAAACAAAAGAACAGGGCCTTAGTGTTCTCATTTCATCCATGACACTACTTAAGGATACCCCAACATCAAATGTTTCTTCTTTAGATATTCAGGACTTCAAAAGGGATATCAGTTTTAATTTTTCTTTTAGGATGATATTTTGTTTCTACCAGCTTAACCTTTATCCCATCATCATTTTACTATACACACTCTCTCCCATTGCATATTCTCTACACACGCTTGCATTTTCTCATACCACACCAACAACAGTCCAGTATGATCCCATGAAATTAGGGTGTGGGGAGGGCGTGTGTACGCAGCCCCTACTCGAAAGTAGAAAGGCTGTTTCCTAGAGTCCCTAGCTTGAGCACAACAAGAAAGCACAAAGCCTGAATAAAAAAGAGCAAGCTAAAGGTAGAAGAAACACAAGGAAAAAATGATGGAACGAAAAAGAGCACCAAGCATAGAAAGCACACAACGTAAAAAAGAAAAGGTATTGATTCCCAAAAGAACTAGTAAAACTATCATTGACCGAACATGCTAACCAACTACTGTAGTCCTAGATCTCCAGACCTCCTATCTAAGGTCATATCCTCGGTTAGGGCAAGAAATCGTAGATCCTGTCTAACCACTTCCTTCTAATTCTTCTTAGGTCTACCCCTTCCTCCACCCCCGCCCACTATCTTAATCCTCTCACACCTCCACACTGGAGCCTCAACAATACGCTGCTTCACATGCCCAAACCACTTAACCTGGTGTCCCGCAACTTATCCTCCACATGTGCCACTCCCACTCGTCCTCTAGTAACCTCATTCCAGATCGTATCCAACCTTGTCTGCCTACACATCCACCGAAGCATTTGCCAGTTGACAAACATGGGGTTTCTTAACCGCCCAACACTCTGCTCCATAAAGCATGGCCGGTCTAACCACAAACTGATAGAACTTCCCCTCTATCTTTGTCAAAATCTTTTTGTCGCAAAAGACCCCTGAAGCGAGCTTCCACTTTGACCAAGCCACTCCTATACAATGGACCACACCCCTTCTATCTCCCCATTTGCCTGAATGATCAAACCAAGGTACTGAAATCTATCTCTCTTCGGCACTGAGTGAGAATCAATCCTAACTTCCGATTGAGATTCTGTCATCCGACCACTGAATTGGCTACTTTTGGTGATTTACCTATTGCCGTGTGTAAAGGTATCTACTCTGCCTTAAACTTACATGCTATCTATGATGTTCTTAGTTATCATTCTATTTCTACTCTACTATACATATATCTCACACCTCTCTAATCTACATATACCTACTATGGTACTGCCACCTGCGAGACACTTTCCAGAATGGTATTGATCTATATTCGGCTGAGATGGAGGCCAGAATGGTACTACTCTCTGCATTGTAGTGGCACGTGGGAATTTGTTCTTCCTCTCTGAAAGTCTATTGTTTGTTGGTCCTTGTGGCAAAGTTGAGTTCTTAAAGCATGTGTACCTGTGAAAGTGTATACCCAGGTGTCTTTATTATTTATAACACTTTTTCTTCTATGGTTAGGGATTAAGATTGCATGTCTAACTGGTTTTATCCATGGCTGCCAAGAGTCAAATGTCGTTCCTGTTGGATATGAAGTATGCCTTCCTCCTTGGTGATCGACATATAAATAATTAAAAAAGCAACCATCAGTCTTTGTTGCGTAGGGGGAGTCTCTTCTAATATGCATATTACACCGCTCTTAATGTGGTCTGACCATCTGAATCAATCTCCACCAGCATGGTCTAAATGGTTTTAATATGACGCGTTGTAATATTGATCATTTTATTTCAATCATCATTTTACATGTAACAAATGCACATCTGGTTGATGGTAGTATAGTTGACAAGAAGCAATGCTTGAATAGATACTCAGGAAAATATGACGTATATTTTTAAGGTTTAAATAGGTCTTTCACGCTAAAATGAATGATTTTTTTTCTTGATAATTGGCTTTTGGGATTTGAACACATTGGGTTCATTTAATTTTTGCTCTTTCCTCGTTGAGGTACCAACAAAGATGGCATTTGGGTGTTAAAATAACAAAACTTAACACCCAATCGAGAAGTTATACTTTGTAGATCTTGATCTAAGCATTTAGTGGCATTTAAGTTTATTTAAATACACTGCGAAAACACCACTAAGCACTTAAGGCATGCAGGTGTTACTTAAAATAGCATTATATGAGCCAAAAACAAAAAAATGCTTAGCCAAGCACCCCAGCTTATCACAAGGGAAAAACACATTAATATCATCACTTTATTTGAGAAAAGTTTGATTCCAGGCTGATTATTTCTTTATCTTATAGTCTAAACAACCAAATATTGGATATACTCACCAAGTCTCTCATGAGGTCTATTTTGGGATGCATATGTGGCCTTGATCTAGCTTGAAGTGGTGTGTTGAGAAAAATAAGATTCTTGTACCCTTATGGGCAGTCTGTATAATATTGAACTCCAATCTGTGTATAGCTGATGGACATTTATGATTTTATGTATGTCTATGTGTATCTGTGCACGCTCGCACTGAAGAGTCTCTTAAACTACTCTGTCTTGAGCATACCACCCTTGAAAGAGCATGTCATATTTTCAAATTTATTTTCACATTGAACTGTAGGACAAATAGTGTGAAATATTAGCACCCCTTTTGCTAACAATGTTTGATCTGAACAAGCTTTGAATTATGATAGCTTTTATAATTTAAGATGATTTGGCAGTTACTCAAATTGTTATGAATTGCATTGTTGTTATACCTGAACATTTGCATTCTAATTGTTTATGACTTTATGTATGTATGCATGTCTCCTCTCTCAAAAAATGAATGTAGGTATCCAACACAGTGAAATATATTGGGTAAAATAGGCGCATGTTGACCTAAAAAGTTTGTTTCTTTTCTTTTCTATGTTTAGACTGATTTCTTTTTAAATTTTAGACTCATGTGTATGGAAGACCTGCTGTCTTTTCAAAACCTTTGATATTTGCAACAGCATTCATGAGCTTCTTCTCAGTTGTTATTGCGCTATTCAAGGTAATATTTCCCATGCCTTTTTTATTTAATGTAAATATTGAACAGACTGCTTGTGAATGCTATCATATAAGTGTAGTTCTTTCTTTTCAAAGAGACTTGTACATTGCTCAATGCAGTTCTTTTAAAGGGGAAGGGGTGAAAGGGATGGGCTGTGGGGTCGGGGAAAGGCACGATTAAACTTTTGGAGAGCTCCTGTAAATTATATGTAATACCAAGCATACTGTTTACAAATTTTTATTATTATTTTACCAAGATATCATATTAAAGTTGGTGTCAATTTTGGATTACTTATAAGTAATAATTGTAGATATAAAAATCTGTAACTCTGACCAATATGTCCAGTTTTGGCTTATATTCACTATATGCCTGTGCCATTCACATTACCGCCATTTTCACATGACATTGTAGGACATTCCTGATATTGTTGGAGACAAGATTTTTGGAATTCGATCTTTTACTGTTCGATTGGGCCAAGAAAGGGTAACTAATTAATCTATTGAGTTATTAGATCATGAGCTGAAGCCTGGACCATAGTGTGTGTTTTGATTATTTGCAGGTCTTTTGGATCTGTATTTCACTACTTCAAATGGCTTATTTTGTTGCAATATTGGTTGGAGCATCCTCATCATGTACTTGGAGCAAATATTTGACGGTAATGATTCTTTGTTTCATGAAAATGCTAAATTAAGCCCACATTTGCCCTTTGCAGACACAGAATCAACCCGGTGTCTGTCTGAAGGGGGCTAAACTTGGAGGGTACTCTAGCAGTCTAATGGCCATTGTTTCATTTGTGGGGGGTGGGTGGGGGGCTAAATGTAGGGTGTGAAATGGTAAGAAAGTGTCCCCCATTTAAATTCAATGTTTTTTTAAAGAGTATCCATTTAGGTTGTGGTTTTTTCTAGGTTAGATCCTAGATGCTACTACAACAACAGACCCAGTAAGAATCCTACAAACCATACAGAGTGGGGAGGTTAGACGCCTTAAGAAATACAAATTAAAAATTCAACAGTGATAAACAATTTTTCCAGTTCGAATTCATTTTCGTTAAAGAAACCTGATTTTTGGACTGCATTTCTTAGAGATAATTGAAGTCTGCACAATGGTCATCATTAACTAGTTGTACTTCTTATAGCTTATTGCGAAGTTTGGAGCATACATAAATGTGTTCTAGACTTCTAGTTGCTTGCCTTTTTTCTACTGAAATGCCAGTACCACCTGCTATCAGCAGCTATTGCCTAATTAAATTTCATCTGTGCTTTTAGGTTTTTGGTCATGCTGCTTTAGCCTTGATACTTTGGAGTAATGCTAGATCAATGGACTTCAGCAGAAAAGAAGCTATCACATCTTTTTACATGTTCATATGGAAGGTATTACTTGCATACTGTTGTATGTTGGGGTAGAGGGTGATAAGAATTATGAAGGAATTTGGGAGAAAGAAGATATGTTTAGGTTAGGGATTTTTCATGATAAGGGATAAGTTAATCTTGAATATGAGATATTACGCATGGCGAAGTCAGCCCAGAATAGTAATACGATCAGAAACTCCAGTCTTAGGTGAACCTTGGGAACTGGTGTTATACGAATGGAATAAATGAACTCAACGCTTCTATATTTAAACGAGCCATTGTTTATCAATTAAGAAATGGATTAACAATTACTTCGTACTACTTGCCTGATATTCACCTGATATGCCTGAAGAAAGCGGGTGAACATGTTGAGTTTGAATCGAGTGAATTAGTAATTCAAAAGCTAATATAGCTCCAATCAACCCGAAACGTCTCGGACTAACCAGCTTAATCTTAGAAATCCAAACTCGCCCTAAAGAAATCAATTTTATAATGCAAACTGAGACGTTGTTTGGATTTATTTCGGGGTGAGTTTGGATTTCTGGGATTAAGTTGGTTAATCTAAATTATTGTTTCATGTTGGATGGATCTATGTGAGCTTGTGAGGAATTGATTCACTTGATCCAAACTAAACTCATTCGCCCTCTTTCTTCGAGGCAATATGAGGTGAATGTGGCAAGTAGTAATTGTTAATCCATTTCTTTGGTTGATGAACAATGACTTGTTTAAATATAGAAATGTTGAGTTCATTTATTGCATTCGTAGAACACCAGTTTTCGAGATTCATGTAAGCCTGGAGTTTTGATTGTATTATTACTCTGGATTGGTTTAGCCGTGATTTATATGGAGTATATAATTATTTGAATTGTAAATTAGAAAAGGTACTTCCTCTACCCCGAAAATATTTTATTCACTTTTCTTTTTCAACCCCAAAAAATACTTCCCCTTTTTATTTCTTCTTTAAATAATGAACATGTAGCTCACACTATTTCTCTCATCTAAACAATTTCGAACCCTACATTTCATTTTTCATCACTTTTCTTAAATTTCTTGAAAGTCGTATAATAACATGATTTTAATGTTATACAATAAAATGGTAAATAATGATAAAAATACTTTTTTTAAAGAAAACTTCGTATTAAGAAAATAAAAGTACAAAGAGATGATGACCGAACTAAAGCCTCTCGAAAACAATCACATGATTTTTCTCATTTTATATTTTAGACTAAAATACATGATTTTAAAAATTCTTACCTTTTCGGGTGGGTTAGGACGAATCTACTTAACAAAACCTTCATTCAAAATCCAGTATTTTGGGTCATCTTTGTGCTCCGCCATCATCGAGTTTGGTAAATTGGTTAAAAACCCAATATTTTCAGGTCAAGTTCTGAGTGAAAAGCAAGTCTAGTCAATTTTTTCCCGGTGTAACCTGATGCTATACTAACTGAATTCCTTTTATTTTGCAGCTTTTCTATGCTGAGTACTTGCTCATACCATTTGTGAGGTGAGCATGGTAGCTCTGGTGGCATCACAATTTGACCCTCCTTAGGAATGTAGGTAACTCTGTATTTTATTGATCTTGTAAATTGTCTGAAAACTACGTTTGTCATAACGTGAGCTCTCCTCTGCTCTCTTTTACTACTCTGGTCCCAAATTCCTAATTATAGATCATCAACTAGGGTAACGTTTGCGTACACATCCTCCCGAGTAAGTTTTGCATACACATGCCCTCCCTAGACCCTACTCTTGCGGGATTCAACTGGGTTGTTGTTGTTGGTCCTTTTATAGGTCTTGTTTATTAAGAATTACTTTGATCTCTTAGTACTTTTATCTCGCTAATTACATATTTTATTTACTTTTTAAACATATTTGCTCATATGAAATGAAGTCTTGTTGAATGAGCGTTGTTATTATTATAGATGCCTCATTTTTTGACGGAGAGTAATTAGGTATGGTATGAAAGTTAAGATTATGTTAGATGGTTTGTGCAATTATAAATTGTGCTCTATAAATAAAAATCAAAGGAATGTTGCGTTTTGAAACGGTGATTTTGGAATTGGTTTGGCATTGTGAACCTTTGGATTCATGCAATAAGTGTTCTAGTACTAGTTAAACGTTGTGGGGTGCATTTGTTATGGAGTGCATCTACTAGTGTGATGTTGACCAAGATGTGGTCAACTTATTTTCAAAGGCATATTTGTGAAGAGGGGAAACAATAGTTCGGCTCTGCGACACCCAACAGCTCGCGGGGGGAACCCTCGACGGTGGAGAAGCCCCGGTCCCCTTCGCCGGGAAGTGGCCATCGGAAACCAACTTCGATATTTGAAGTTCTTTTTTTTGGAATTTCTAAAGGTCTATACCCAAACAAGTTAATTCCAAATGGACTAATAGTTCACATTCTCTCTTAACTCTTGCACAATGTTTGGTTCAAGGAATTTGAAAAGGAAAAGAAAAGAAAATGAGGAGGAAAATCATTTTTCTTGTTTGGTTAGGGAAGGAAACAAAAGAAAAGTAGATGAAAAAATTGAAAAAGAAATAAAGTAAAGAGAACGCAAACATTTTTTCTTTATTTTGGTGAGAAAAAAGTGAGAAAACTCTTTTCCTTTTACTTTCAAACAATTGGATCTCTTTTAAAATTTTTACTTAACTGCGTCTTTCTACAAAAAAACTTGGATTAAGCATTACATGAACTTTAAAAGAAGTAGACAAATACTCCGGAACAACGTTAGTATGATTGAACTTGACTTGTTGATTTGTCAAGCAGAGCTCGAGCCTCGATTTCGCTCATTAATAATATTTAATAAAATTTACGAATCAATTCTGGTGTATGCAAATGGTATAGGGATCCAAATGAACTATCAGACACACACGAGTCATCAAAACATAGATATGTCGTCTGTATTATAGAATTAAGTTGTTTGTGTTGGCAATTGTTTGTATATTTGTACATATACTGACGATCATCTTTGTGAAGTGTATAATATTGCATGCGTTCAGAAACGATTATAATCCGTGTGTGTACAATTTCATAAAACGTTTGTGGTATTAACAACTTTGTGTTACACCTCGCATTTGGTGGAATTAATGGACATCGTGTGTTAGTCGATGTCCTCACGCCTTAGAAAAGGGTGAATAAGTTGTTTAACTTATTTTTTGGATTTTAATAAAATTGGAGTTTGAAAACGCGAAAGCAATGAAAATAATGTAGAAATAAATGCGTAAAGATTATCCTTGAACCATTTACTCAAGGATTTTTGAGCTATTTTTTTACTGTTCATACAGGGATTTCTACGGTGATCACCCTTACAATTGGTGAAATGTGTATACAAACACATGAAATAAGTTCAACACCTTTACCTATTATAAAGTCATAACGATCAATCCTTGGCCGATGAAGAATGAAGATTATATTTTATAACAAAGATTATGCTCTCTAAAAATATTGCAAGTTCAACCTATGAATATGAAAGTATATAATTATAATCACAATTCACAAACTCAATGTGTATATAAATATTAGGAGAAAGCCAAGTGTTTTTATCCAAATTACAAAGTGTTAGGAGCAAAAAGATTAACACACGTAGAAATATGAAAAATGAATTGTGGGAGCTTGGATTATTGTAAAAATATGAAGGAATATGGCCATATTTGTATCATTTTTGTAGAGTTAAGAGACATCATGTAGGCCCCCGTTTGACAATAGCGTTAGAGTTTAGTGTTAGCGTTTTGAAAAAAAAAATCAAATGGTAGCTTTCAGTGTTAGTATTTTTAAAATCAATTTACATCATTAAAATTTAACGAATTCTTCTGTGGATCTAAGGTTCATGCTCATTTTATGAACTTTAGTGCATTCAGCGAATTCTTACGAGATCATGTAAATATCTCTCTTAAATTTTTATTCAAAACACTAATACTAATTAAAAATGTTATTTCCAAACAAAGTGGCAGTGATGTTTTCATCCATGGGTGGGATGGGGCTCTCTTTTGTTCTAAATGGGTTGGTTTAGGTATATCCACTTTGTTTTAGGTTTTAAAAATCAGAAGTTTGGTGATCCACTCTCATGTCCAATATGTCCAAACAGCACATGATACACGGGCGGCATGCCGAGTTGACTCAGACAACAACAGCTTAGCTTGCTTCTCACGGATCCGGAAGAAGGACCTGAATAGGAATCGAACGCATCTCAATTGGAATCTCCCCATCTCCCTCCATTGTCTTCCCTCCACAGCTTTCTACAGAGAATCGAGAGAATCGGAATGCGGTTCTGAGAATCGCCCGCGGCGTTGAGTGACGATGGGTTCACACTGCGTTAACCTGTGTCGCGACACACGGGATCGCTTCTCCGACCGCTGCTCCAGGTTCGCGCCCTGCTTCTCTGATCCGGGTGAGTAAAGCTCGACGCTCGAAAATTCTGAATTTTGTTTATCTTTGAGTGAGCCTGGAGGTGTGTTTGTTACCCCTTTTTTTTGAGTGAATTGATGTTTGAAACGTTTTAGCTCGGAGATCGACATTCTGCTTGCGAGTAATGCTGGTGATGCTGCACCTGGTGAACGCGGGGTTTGTACTTGTGTTCGATAGAGGGTTAATTGAGAAAGCCAGAAAAGAACCTTGGTAATGCTCATGTCTTTTGCGCTGTTATTATGAGTATACTTGTGTTCGCTTGAGTTTAGATGTTTTCTTCTCTAATAAAACCAAGGTGGTGGGGGGTGTTCGGAGAGGAGTTTCTTGGAGGAATTTCTGTGAAAAAGACTTTTTTTTTTGTTTAATGACATCTAAATGGAGTGTTTGGCTAAGAGCTTTTAGATCATCAAAGAGCTGGTTTACAAATATTTTGATTTTCTAGCATTTTAGGAGCATCTGTTTAAATCTTTTCAGAGCAACTGTTCTTCAAGCCTATTTTACGAAAGCCTGGTTTTTTAGATATTATATAGAGCAACTACACTAATAGCTAACAACTGGTTGCCAAATAAGCCTAGTGTTCACATACTACACTGTGAAGTCTGTAGTAAATAAAAGAGATGAAATTGGTATTTAATCAACAATAGTATTTATGGTATGGCATCTCTAATGACAAATGCAATTATTAAGTTGCTGATTTTGTTTTTTGGTGCTGCGTAGTTGGATTAACAATTCTAACTTTTTAAGTGGCAGTGGATGAAATGAAAGAATAAAAATGCATACATTGGTCACTTCTGAGTTAGAATGTCAGTATGCTGAAGGGGTCACAATTTAATTTTGTTGGACATTACCCTTGTCCCATATTTCATTACATGACTGATGAAGTAATGGTGTTTGTTTTACCCCATGATCTCCTACTTTCATCATCCCCGTGGTCTGTAGAACTAGTTAATTCTGGATTTTATGGATCATGCCTATCGTTTTAGTTATGTCTTTTAGCTCATTCTTATAAATTTAGAAATGACCATCCTACTTTTCCATCCAGGTACATTGCATTGTACTTGCTGTTGTTCATCAGCACTCTGGTTCAATATTTCATCACTTCTTACTCATCGCCTGGGTAATTTTAGTACTTTACTCCTTTCTATTGGACCCATAAGATCGAAATGCATGGACTAAATGTCTAAAGCTTTTCTTTTACCTATTTAAATCTAGGTATGTTCTTGACGCAATGAGGGCTGTTGATGAGGCAGCTGCTTTGTATAATAGTACATCGGGGGCCTCAAAGTAAGATCACTTTGAAATAACATTATTACTCCGTCCGTCCCAAAATATTTTACCTGTTTCACTTTCATAAAGTTTAAGAAAGTGTTGAAAAGTGAAAAATGTATGGTTACTAACTATTTCCTTTCTTCTGCTTGTGTTCATGTTAAATGATCAAGCAAAGACAACCTGCTTCAAGCAAAAATGTCAGTGTAGTTATTACAATTGATAGGAAGCAGTTAGAACAAAGTCTTTTAGACGGTAATGCAACGCCATGGACAAAGTTAGTGATGGATTTGTATCCCCCTGGATCATCAGTCAGGTGGGTAGTATCTATGATTTATGAAATACAGTGTACGACTGTACGTACTAAATGTCCGACTGGACTGTTGTTGTACTAAATGCTTTATCGCATTACATACATTCAGTGGATATATAGAACTAAAGAATAGCTTTTATGTGTGTTTGCAGAAACTGGACTTGCTCCTACTGCCACTGCTTGCAGGTAGAATCACTTCTCTTTTTGCTCCTACTGAAATCATGTTTTTATTTTTACATAGTGCACTCATGCGCGTTGTAATAGAAATATCAACATATGGGCTTTAGAACATTAATTGCAACAGGAGAGTTCCCCATATTATGTTATGCTTCCAAATGCAGTAAACCAATTTATATGTGTGTGTGTGTGTGTGTGTGTGTATGCGTGTGTGTGTGCGCGCGCGCGCGTGTGTGTGCGTACTATTTAGCATTACTTTTCATGACTGTGATCGTATTTTCTGTTTGAAAATTTTTCTGCAGCCTCCTCGAGCTAAGCACTGTCATGATTGTGACAAATGTGTTCTTGAGTACGACCATCATTGTGTATGGCTGGGGACTTGTATAGGGAAGGGTAACCATTGCCGTTTTTGGTGAGCATAAAAGTTGCTTGCTGAATGTGTGTCTGCCTATGAAATCCTTGGTTACGAGTTAAAAAGTTGCTTGATGAATGTGTGTGTGCCTGTGTGTGTCCACAAATGGTGTATTATTTACACTGTGTTAAATTTTGTATGCTTATATGTTTAATTGATCGCATCAGGTGGTATATATTCGAGGAAACATGTTTGTGCATTTGGACTGGAATCTTATACATTCAGTTCCTTAAATCTAGTATATCAAAGGCATGGTATGTATGTACCACTTCAATTTGCAATTTATCCATATATTCTGCTTTATTTTTCCTTTTATTCATTGTTTTACTTA